AGAAACTTAGATATTATCACAGATGAAAAAACAATTGGCAGTTTTATGTATAATTACATGAAATCAAACAATCTACCAGTTGACCAGAAACAGAGGAAATTAACTCAGTTAGCATCAACACACATCCAATATCAACCATTTTCTTCTTATTATCTTTGGTATCTAATAGACAGATTTCATTTTATCATCGATGATATTCAATCAATTTTAACATTTACTAAAAACACTTGTTTTAATGAATTTGCGAACGAATTTATGAACGAAAGACAAAAGGCTGAATTAGAAGGAAATAAAGGAAAAAGTTTATTTTGCAAGATTTCACTTAATGGATCATATGGTTACGATGCAATGAATACACAAAATTACACAAAGACTAAAATAATGAATGCACAGAAGGCACGCGTTGCATGTATGTCAAATAAGTTTAAAAACATAAGAGAAATAGGAGAGGATACATATCAAGTGATGCTCAAAGATAGATTTTATAGATGTGATACATGTTTACAAGAGGCATTCTTCACTTTAGATAACGCAAAATACTGGTATTTAGTTTTCATTTATGATTTTATGTATAAATGCATGGATGTTAATTGTTTTCATTTCATTGAAGGTGATACTGATTCATCTTATTGGGCAATCGCTGGCGATCCAAATCTTCCTAACACTCAAGCATTTCAGGCGATTGTAACCGATAAAAAATTTTATGATAAAAACATTTTCAAATTCGCACCATTTGATTTCTTCTGTTTTGATGAGAAATTTAAACCTAAATTAAAGAATAAAGCTGAAGAAAAAGCACATGAGAAGAAGTTATTGGGTTTAGCAATTGAGAAACAAGGTGATAACATGGTGGCGTTATGCCCTAAGTGTTATACATCATTTAATGGGATGATAGGTGAAGACTCCTTCAAAAAGATTGCACAAAAAATGAAAGGTGTTAGTTTACGACAAAATAAGCAATTAACACCTAAAAATTATTTGGATATAATAAATGATAAAGTTATTTTCGATGGTCAGAATATTAATTTACAACTTAAAAACGGGTCAATGACTCGCCTAACAATCGGTAAGACTGCATTAACAGGAGCACACACTAAGGCTGTATGTTGTGAAAATGGATGTTGTATGCCATTTATTTAATATAATTTAAAAACGTAGGGGTTGAGTCATGAATTTAAAATTTTATTTTTAATAAAATGCTACAGAAGAGACAAAAGGAACTGTTAATAATGTGATTCAATATGTAAATAATGGTTTTGATACTATGATTCAAAGAGGTGGGCACCCTTAAAACATTTATTTTATTTTTATATAAATGGATAATGCAGATTTAGAAAATTTAATTGATGATTTAGTACTTAATCAATATTTTCCTAATTATTATGAATTAAAATCATATCTCCAAAAACATAATAACAATATAACGGGTGATGATATGGGTTATTATTATCGGTATTATAAAAATGAAATTTTGAAATATCATGATAAAATAATTTCTAAAATTAAAGACAAAATTAAAAATAATGAATATACAAAGGGAAAAACTAAATCACAACTTAAACAATTGAAAGATTTCAAAAATAAAGTATTAACAGAAAGAAGATATTGATGATTATATAAATTATATAAATCCTGAGCCGCAAAAGCCAAAGGAACAAAAAGCCAAAGAAGAAAAAGCCGAAAAAACAACACCAAAAGAGAAAGTAGCAAATGTTCAACAGCTAAAGTGTGCAAAACGCCCAGGTCCTTCAGACCATAAATGATGCACAAGCTTTAATTTATGATTCATTAGTTAAACCATATTCAGCCGACTTTTAAATGAAGATCAACTTTTGGAATTCATCCTTCAACATAAACTCGAAGCGGGAAAGTATATCAAACCTTTATATACAGCATATTTAAAACAAATGAATAGAATACATCCAGAATTAATGAAGGGGGGAATGAAATCCAAAACTTCATCATCCAAAATCAAAGCAGATAAAATTAAACCACTTGCAATACCAAAACCTCCAACGGTAGTACCTCCTCCTTCAGTTAATCCTTCATCATTCACTTTATATATCCATTTCAAACATTAAAGAAGCAAAAAGATTTTAAAAAGGATTTCAAAATATTAAATAAACCAACCGACCCAAAAATTCAACCGTTAAAGGAAAAATTAAGTCGCCCTTCATTTGCACCATATCCATATTCATACGAAATCGATCATTTAGAATATTCAAAAGGAACGTTACTTATTTATTTGCCATTAACATTAACACCAGATATTATATTGCATTCCGTGAAAGGGAAAACAGAACAGGAAACAAGAAGAGCTATACAATACTTACTAGATCATGAAAGAGTAGATAATATAAGGGGTGATGGTGATAAAGGATTTCAGGCAGCTATGGCTCATTATTTCCCACAAATTAATTTTTACTTTTCATCCTCTCCATATACGTTTCATAATAAAATAGTTGATGCGGTAATGAGAACTCTTAGAGATGCGTTAGGGGTTAACGGTCAGATATACTGGGATGGAAATCATGACTCCATCATACAGCAGTTAGTTATATTATTACAATAATACATGGCATAGAACTATAAACATGAAACCAGTGGAAATGAAAAATGATATTCAAAAAATGGGAATATATTAAAAGCAAATGGAAAGGTTGAATGATGTTAAACGTGAACAAATTAATTCGGGGCTCATGAATTTTAAACAAGGGGATAAAGTTTTGATTCATCTCGATTATGGAAAAACTAATAAATCAATGACAAAAAGAAGACGAAGATTTGACACAATAGCTGAATTTGTTAGATATATTAACGGCAATGCATTAGTTGAAGTTGACAATAAATTAATAGAAATTCCAATTTATTTTATTACTCCATTATATTTAAATAAATTTAATTTTTTATTTCGTAAAAATGAGTGACAACGAAGCATCCAAGAGTCCTGATTCAATTAAGATTCAGAGTCCAGACGATGAATATAAAAAGAAACTAAACAGAATTAAATCAAAAAATGCTATTACAAAAAGAAGCCGCAATGCGGTGGGGCTGAAAACGATAAAGAGAGGAAAGAAATAATCGAAAAATTAGAAACTTACCGTTCAATCCTTAAACTGAGTGAAGCAAAAATAAAAGAATTTAATAGAATAAATAAATTGATTGGAAGAGATGAATTTAATAAAGATGAATTTTTAAACTCAATCCAAATTTAATTTTTTCAGTGCTACCATGTTACCGTGTGCTACCATGTCAATTAACTTCTCTTAAAAATGATGACAACATGACATTTTGACAACACAGCAGGATTAATGCAAAAATAAATTCAAACTTCATCGTATATGCTTTGTGAATGTCTTACAAACACGTATGAATATCTTATGCGGTGGGAAGCCAGATGGAAATAAATTTACGTCAAATATGCAATTTATAAAATCTTATGTCGACGGGCTACGTAGCACAGTGGTCTAAGGTGGTGTTATGGAGGGGTCAGGGTATGTGGTTCGAACCACGACAGTGCCGTATTTTCTGATTTTCTTTGTTTGTCTTGTTTGTCGTGAATAAAAAGTGTCATAAAAGTGCTCTATCTTCCACGGGAATAAATAAAAAATTTACTTTATTTCTTCTTTATTTCTTTGTTCCCGTGGAAGAAGGGTTTTGCTGTTTTTTCTCAGCCGAAATCAATGATTTTTTCATTTTTGGAATCCTTATCGAATGAGGAATCTTTTCTCTCGTGGAAGCTTTGACCAAAAATAAATGGTTCATTTACTCACAATATTTTTGTACAAAACGACCCCAAACTTTTAACTTCTTTTCTGCAGCTTCTAATGCTATCTTAGCGAGTTCATATTCTCTAAATTCTCTCTTTAAATCTTCTTGTTCCCATTGGTCTAGTTCGTATGGAGAATCTCTATAACCATAACATATCTCACGTTCATGTTCTAATTGTTTTTCACACATTTTTCTAACTTCTTCTTCAAACAAAGGTTTTGCATTCTCTACTGTATCTTCGAGTTCTTCTTCATCTAATTTCTCATGAACTTTCTTGTCTATGGAGTCCATAATTTTTCCAACTGCTATGCAATATTTTGGAGAAGCCCACATTGCTATATAGTTTATAAGTCTTGGGTCTACATACATTCCTCTAACCTGTTTGATTTCATCAGGAATTCCTGCATGAATTTTGTATAAAAAGCAACAGTCCGAATTCCGGCGGTTGCTATATTCTTCACAAAACGCCTTATAATACTCTTCCCAGGACTTATTTTCCAACAACTTTCTAAAGTCTTTCCTAAACTGCTGACACATCTTTGTTGCATTAATGTAACCATCCTTGTCTCTACGTAAGACTTCAATACCATTATAAGTGCCTTTTGTGAATGTTTCGCCATTAGATTTGTTCGTGAATGTTTTTGCTTCGACTGACATTTCTGTTCTTACATACAAAATAAAAAAAATAAAAATAATTCATAATGTTGTCATCATTTTTAAGAGAAGTTAATTAACCTGGTAGCACATGGTAACATGGTAGTAGTGAAATAAAATTTTGTTATCAGTTATTTATTTGAATGGATTCGCTAATGTTCCACCTTGAGTCACAACACTTGCCCCGGCTAATTGTGAAGAACCTGGGATAAGTACTCCATGAAATGATTTCATTGGTATCATTAATTTAGAAATAGTTGGCTTAATTAATTTTGTCATTTATGATAAAAATAAAATTGCATAATTTAAATTTTTTTCTTTCTCATTTTCTCATTTTCTCATCCTGTTTTGGTTTCAGCAACTTTTCAAGTTGTTGTCTTGTCAGTAACTTTAATTTTAACTTTGGATCAAATATTGGGTTTCCATCTTTATCTCTTCCAATAACACCATATGGTAGAATCTTCATTTATACTAAAATAAAAATTTAAATTATGCCGTTCGCTCTTTTGGAGCTCAGGACTTTCAGTCCGTTCTAAAGTTTGTTTCACAAACATTGAGCGTTCATTGAACGCGAAACCATGCGAATACAGTCACAAATGGTGGCATGTAATCTTTACCCGAGCCTGTTGGATTTGTTGTGAAAGTATGGACATGATTTCCTCCTGGTTCAGTTTGTCGAAAAGTCTTTTTTGTTGAATCGTTATAAGATGGAGATAAAACGTCATAACCAGCTTCATAGTCTGAGTTGTATAATGGGTGGTCTCTTAATGAGTGTCTATGGTCGCCAGAAAAGTTTGTAGTTCCCGTATGAGTGTGCGGTGGAAGGTTTGCTTCTTTAATTTTCTTCGAACCTCCTGTTTGCTTTGAATATCTAGCACAGTATAAGAATTTATCTACAATCTGCTTCCACGTACCAAAACCTAAAACTGTTTCTGGATTTGTTGAATTCATTGACGTATAAATAGAACCAACAGGATATAATGTTTGAAGTATTTCATTTTTCATGCTTGTAATCACATCATTTACTTCCGACTTCTTTGCATAATTTTCATCAACATAAGTTTTATCTGCTTTAAGGTCTAAACATCCTGAAACCCATCCTGTATCAGCTTTAACTTTAAAAGTCTCCGATGTCCATTCCTTATCCGCCTTCTTCTCTAACTCATCGTTAACATAAGTTTTATCTGCTTTAAGGTCTAAACATCCTGAAACCCATCCTGTATCAGCTTTAACTTTAAAAGTCTCCGATGTCCATTCCTTATCCGCCTTCTTCTCTAACTCATCGTTAACATAAGTTTTATCTGCTTTAAGGTCTAAACATCCTGAAACCCACCTGTATCAGCTTTAACTTTAAAAGTCTCCGATGTCCATTCATGATACCATTCAACCTTTTCTTTAATTTCATTATCTTTTTCATCAACATAAACCAAATTTGCCTTCTTCATTAACTCACTATCCACATATTCCTTATCCACCTTCTTCATTATGTCATTTAGGAAACCTTCTATGAATTCCTCATTTAAATTAAATCTTCCAATCTTCAAAACTTTAGGAAATGCATTTAATGCGTAATATCTCTGTTCTTCTGGTGGAATTGATGTTATATCATCCGTTATTCCTTTAATTTTTGAATTCATAAATAAAATTTCTTTTATATTTGATATCACTGCACCACCTTTGCAAACGAATTCGAAACGGTCATTTTTCAATACTATCTCCAAATCTCCATATTTCAACCTTTGCGTTTGTTCTGCCGTCTTTGAATTATATGCATATATGGCGTATGTAATGGTCTGAAGGACCTGGGCGCTTTGCGCCTTAAGTTGTTGTGGTTGCTGTTGTTTAATCATTTATTACGATTTAAAAATAAATATTTAATCCGTTATCTCATCAGCTATTTTCTCTATTTGAAATTGCCATAATATTTCATTCATAAATTCTAAATCACAATCAAATAGGTCAGTTATTCTAAATTTAATATTTGATAAATCTTTTGAATGAAGAATAAATGAATTCCCGGATAATTGAAACGGATATGATAAAGAAAATGTGTTTAAGTTGATGGATAAAATGTTTTGTATTGATGGGTAAGAGTTAGGGTCTAATGTTTGATGTGAAAATCTCATTGGGGTATTAACTTTATCACATTTGATTAAAATGAAATTGGAACCAGTGTCAGAATACAAAACATCCCCAACATCTTTTTCAAAATTTAATATCCCCAACAATGAACGAAGATGAGGAGTACAAAATTTAATTTTCAGCGGAAATTTAATAAGGTTATTTATTTCATCAAGTTCAAAAAGTTTATCAGGTTTTGATTTAAAATTTTCTTCATACCATACGATAAATGATTCATTTAAATAACTTAAAATCATGTTAATATCCCATTTCGCTATCACATTATTTATATACATATCATACGTTTTTTCAAGGTCATCTTTAATAAATGATATATAATCTGAAGGGTCTAAAAGAATGGGATTAAATTTACCACTCACAGAAACGAGAGTAACATTATAAATTCCGCTAACTGTTAAATTTAATTCACAGTTATTATTCGAAATAATATTGATAATTGACATTTTTATTACGATTAAAAATATGGTAAAGCGTTATTTTCCAGTGATAAATAAAACTAGAATAAGATTACCTCAAGAATTCATAAATTCAACGAATAAGAAATTCATTCATGTTATAAATTTTAGTGTTTTCAGAAAATATGAGTCAATGTCATATTCATCAACAGGTTATATTTCACTTCATTCAAATTTAGTTCAATCAAACCCATATAATGACCATTTCATAAGATTTTCAGATGGTATTAAAAATGTAATTGATAGATTAAAATATGAACAGATTGACAATATCGAATTTTTGGAATTTTGGTTTAAATATCCCGATGGAAAAAAGATTGAAGTTAAAGATAAAGCTGATACTATAACAAAAACAATTACAATGACCGATCCGGATAGTGGGGAACAAAAAGAAATAAAACAAACGATAGAAACTGGTGAAAGGTCAATTATTATTGATTATGATTCAAAGGATTATTATTCGATAATGTTAATGCTTGAATATTAAATAGCCTTAACAAAGAATTTTTCAAGTGATATTTTATATTCATCAACTATTTTATTATAAATATCATTATATGTTAAATGAAGTTCAGTTGTTGTTCCGTTCTTTGATATCTTAATTGTGCTAATATCCTTTATAGGATTTATTTTTGCAACTGTTCCGCAGCATGAAACCTCATCATCTATGAAAAATTGAATCTTAACGTCTGAATCTTGAACATCACAAAGAATGGCGATAATGTGAATTAATGATTCATAAGGTAAAATAATTAAACCGGATTGGTCAATTAAATTTATTATTGAATCATAATATTAATTATATCATTATTATATTCATGGTAAATTCATTAATTCAGAATTAATGTCTATTTTATATGGGTTCTCGATGTTTGATGAAAGAGGGGGGTATGTTGGATAAGTGGGAATTTCAACAGGTTCTTTACCGGGTTCAGATAAAATGATTGGGTCTCCATTCTCATGGTTTTCTTCATTCTCCTCATTCTTCGGTAAGTCACGAGTTAATAAATTTGGTTGAGTTGCTGACCTTGTTAATTCAGGGCTAACATTAACTTTAACATTTTGAATAATTCGTGATTTATCATCATTTACGTTATAACCAACCGTAATCTCTGCTTTTGCGTTAGTGTTCTTTTGACTAGTGAAACGTCTTCTCATTTATATTCGAATAAAAAAATATATTTAAACTTTTATTTTGCTGGAACTTTTGAATCTATTATTCCCTGTATTTGTTCATGAAGTTGATTTTTAGCTGTTTCATCGTAATTAATAGACCTAATATATTCATTAATTGCATTCTTATAATCATCTGATTTCTCAAATTTTCTTTTATCTGATTCCTTAACTAAATCATAAGTTAAACCTCGTTGCTGATATAATGGTTTCTTAATTAAATCTTTGAATGCTTGAGATAAAGCACCTGATGCAATTCTTGCTACTATAATTGGTTGGAATTGCTGTTTAAGTTCATCTTTAACATTTGCGAAAACTGGATCGAATAAAGCAACTTTAAAGAATTTCTTAGCTGAAATTTCAGGTCTAATATTTGCATATTGACCATCAAACTGGTTAGAATATCGTGGTAATCCATCCGGTCCCTCTTCAATAGCATTTAATTCTTCATTGAAATAAGAATATGGATTATGACGGTATGAATTAATTGGACCATTTTCACCTTCTCCAATGTATTGTTTAACAGCTTTTCCATTTTCATCAAATTGCATAGGATAACGTTCATTATATGCTTTACGTTTAGGATAATCAGTTATAGTTAATTTATAACCATTTATGACTTTAATATTACCTTGACCATCAGTAACGAAAACTTCATTTATACCATCAGGTTTTCCATTTGGACCCGTAATGTCTGCTTCGTGTGCTTCCCAATTTGGACCTTGACGTTTGGCATATGCTTGAGCTTCTGGTAATGTTAAAACGTTTCTCATTTGTTTAACATCTTTTTGAAGACCAGCAACAATATGAACTAATTCTTTCATTCCATCAGGAACTTTCATAGTTCTATTATATGCACCCTTTTGTTTGTTCCTTGTTTTAATGGAACCTGTAGAAGATTTGCTATTTCTGTCATGTTTAATTATAAATAAAAAATAAAAATTAATTATAAAAAGTTAATCAAATTTAACACTCCTTTATTTAAATCAACTATTATTTTTCCATGTTCACCTAATTGCTGATATTGTGTGTAAAGTTCATTAATGCTCATTGGTAAATTCACTTGATAAAGCATAACGTTCAACTGTTGACGACTAAACCCACTGAAAATGAAAAGGTTGATAGATTTGATTTAATGTTTGTGCTTAATGCTTTGAAAGTATTGAACAGCCATAAAGAATGAACACTGAATGTGTCGACATTGAGTTAATAACTGATTAAAATATGATTTCTCATTTGTTATTAGTTTTGATTTCACTGCATCATCTAGAAAAATGAGTGAATGCAAAAATTCTCTATCAAAATTTGAAATAGAAAGTGTTTCAAATAATTCATCCCGTTGTTTATCAATAATTTTATCCTCTAATCCTTGCTTCTTGATTGTATTATATAATTCTTTATACATTAAAAAGTTTTTTAAATAATCTTCTGCTTCTTCTTGTGATAAATAAATAATTGGAATTTTGATTAAATGCTTTAAAGATTCAAATGTATCATCTGAAGGTGAACCTGAACGGTTGATATAAATTAACACATGTGAATAGGGGGAAGTGTTAGCAATAATGATAATTTGTTTTAATATCGTTAATGTTTTACCTTTATTTGTTTACCAATTGCTGCAGTGATTGAATTTAAGTAACATTCAGAATATGGAATTTTCATTAATTTTTCCTTAGATAGAGCATTTCTATTATCACTCAATGCTTCATTAATCATATCATCTACGTATGTATTATATACTCCTGCTAATTCTTCATAAGGGGTGGATGAATTTAAATCCATTTAATCAAAAATAAATTTATAATTTTAAACATTTCTATTCATCAATATTTCATCATATGAACTTCTATACTGTGGTGGTGTACCTGTTGGATGATATTTCAAACCTTCATCCGGTGTCCATGTCCAATATGTAGTCCTAGTAAACCAAACCTGAGGAGGATTTGTCACCTTTGAACAGTAAGTGTCATTTTCACCCTGAATGATTGGATAAGCTTTCACTTGTACTGTAACTTGTGAGTTGAAAGTTTCTAATCCATCAAAGAATATACCCGCTCCATCACGTTGAACTGGAATAGTGCATAAGAATGAAGTTTGGTCTTTCCATGTTCTAGCTAATGGCGTGCCATCATCATTCAGTGGTCTAGTTAATGAGTCCTCGTATTCTTCTGTGCATTCATTCACTCCATCTAAATCAGAAGCTTGAAGCATACGTGTAAAGAATATGTCGCCCACTGTGGTCATCGCTTGATCGGGGAAGTTTCTGGAATCTATAGTGACCTGAAGACCTCGAAGCATTGGATTTTCTAAAACGTTCTTTGCATTGCATTCTTCGGAAATGTTAACACAACATCTGTAACATTATGAAGAGCGTATGAGAAATCTGAGCTAATACCTTCAGGAGTGATGCAACCTCCATTTAGTGAACGAACGTCAATATGTTGAGCTGGAATCATGAATGGATCTTCCTTACTGAATAAACGTGGTATTGCTTTAACTGATTCTTCAATTAAACCGTATCCTGGTGTAATGCATTTATCCTCTAAAACTTCCATCTTTGTGCATGAAATAATAACGTCATCAACTGTTGCGTCAGCAGATGTAGCGGCTAAGCTTGTAATTAATTTGGCAGGAAGTCCGATTTGTTGGAATTTGCGATCATATTTATAAACATGATTCATAATCTTTTCATAATTTTCATCAGTTATCTTTTCATAAACGTAATTTTGTAAATCAGCAACTCTTAACGGGTCAACCTGACAAAATACTAAAGTATCCCTGAAAACATAATATTTAAGAATGATATCACCAAATGATTTAGGATAATCATCGAACGCCTGAAATGCTAACAAATCATTTACCGGAATAATCATATCAAAAGTGACATCAACTTCTTCATTTGCTTTCTTGAAAACTTCTGAAGGGTCAATATATTTACCACATACTGAGTTATCATATTTTTGAACATTATTATATAACGAATGAACAAACTTTTTAACTTTCCTTTCTGATTTTGGTTTATATGTTGCAAATGCGAAAGATTCACGGGCGCAATCCATCTGAAGATAACCGGCATCACCTCTTTCGGTTTCTACTTCTAATTGTTTAAAGCTTTGATTTGATGATTTGTAACCAACGAATAAACGCATGCATTTAAAAGCGGCATCACATGTGAAAGCTTTATTTGAAACTAGAGTTGCTTTAACTTTGCGTTTAATATATGTGTCACCTAATTGGTTCACATCATGAGCTGGATTTGTAATTCTTAAATGAGTTTGTTTATCATCAAAATATGGAGCATCAGAGTCATAGCATGAACTTTCAAGTTCTCTATAATATCTTCTACCGTCATTCTTTGCGAATATTTCATTTATCTTTTCGAATGAATGAAACACATTTCCATTAATCGGTTTAGTGTTTGGCACTAAATAGTTAGTCGTCATTTATTAATAAATAAAAAATCAAAATTAAAAGATGAAAATGAATTTTTAATTTTAATGAAATAATCAACTATGGCTGCAGGTATATTTAAGAAACTGTGGGATAAAGTAAAAAGAGGAGCGAGTAAAGTTTGGGAAACATTGAAGAAGGGAGCAAATTGGATATTTAAGAATAAAGAAGCAATTAGTGACGTTGCTGAATCAATAACACCAAAAGCTGCCCCAATAAGAGAAGTTTTAAATAAAGGAGAAAAAGTTTATCAAAGACTACAACCGATACTAAGATAAAAATAATTTTAAAATAATTTATTTTTCCACTATCTACCCCCTATTTTATTAAGTATTCCTTCAGCTATTCCACCAATTGCGTTACCTGCTTGTGCTCCCATCGCCGGATTACCTGCTTTAGTACCTAATACTCCACCTATGATAGTTCCTGCCGTTTTCGCTACTGGTGCCAAAAAGTTTGCAATGGGTTTAATAATCTTTTTATGAACCCAACCCGCAGCTTTCTTAATTCCATCCCATAATTTTTTAAAGAATCCTGCCGCCATTTCTGATTTAATATTAATTAAAAAATATATTTCATCACTTATATTCTAATTTTTATTTAATGATAAATGAAACCGATTTTAAAAATAAATGAAACAGAGGAGGAAGAAATAAATGAAAGTGAAAATGTTCAACAAAAAATAAACGTTGTTAAACCAATTACTGAAATAAAAATTTTTTCATCTGTTGAAGAATTTAATGACTATTATGCCAATAATAAAAAATTATTTGAAGAATTGACAACATGTAAATTGAATAAAATGTTTAAAGTTGATGGATTCAAAATTTCAAAAATAAAAGGAGTGGTTAGTTTGAAATCTATTCCTCAATCAAGAATCACCTCATTAATGAAAATAGATGATTTAACAAAAAGAATAGAAGAGATTGAAGAAAGAATGAATCAAATAATTGATTTCATAAATTCAAATAATCATTAGTTTCTAATTTCTTTTACTCGTTTATGACTTCATTGATTCCATTCAGGATTTAAACAATGTTTAATTAATCGCGGAATATCTGACATCATCTATATATAGATTCTTTTATAAAAGATAAAAAAATAAATTATTTTAAAATTAATGTTAATTTTTTTAATGATTTATAAATAAATATATTTTAAAATTAATGTTAATTTTTTAATGATTTATAAATAAATATATTTTAAAATTAATGTTAATTTTTTAATGATTTATAAATATATTTTAAAATGTGTTTAGTATATAATATTTATTACTAATTTATTTAATAATGTCGCGCTTTCTTACGAATTCATGACTTAAAAAACGTAAGAAAAAATTTTTATATCATCTATATATAGAAGATGTGAAAATATACCTTCATCTATATATAGACGTAACAAAAAAAGTCACAAAACCCTTCCACATATACTACTTATATTATTCTTTTGTCTTTCTCATTTTAAATAAACTGGGTATCAATAATCAATGTCGGAATCTGTACTTTGACCATATAAATGAATTGTTTAATTGAATAAATCCCATCAGTGGCGAGTTTGTTTTCTCGCCAAAATATGATGAAAGCGGAATAAATTTTGAACATATTGGGAACAAAATGTGTTTTCCTACAATTTTAATCTATATTTCAAATATCTAAGAATTTGGATCGATAGAAATTCGTTTTTTTTTATGATCTCTGACTATTTAACGCAATATACAGACTTTATTGGAGCGTTTGAAAAGCTATTTTGTATAAAATATAATGAATCTGTTGAAGAAATGTGCAAAATTATCACTAACATTTTGATTTTGAAGTATCAACTTACAAAAAAACAACTAATGGAGATCATTTTCGAAGCGCTTCAATATAATTATTCCGCAGGAGAGAATTATGTTAAAATACTCAAGACTATCGATATTTTTTCGCATTTTGAATTTCCATCTGAAGGTTCAATCGAATTTATAGTTATGCATGATCAAATTGATAAATTCAAGGAATATTTTTCTCAAAAAGAAATCATATATGATAAATTTTTGAAAATTCCTAATTTTTCTGAAAATAGTTATTTCTTTTTATCTTTAATTGAAGCATGCGCCTATTTTGGATCTGTAAACATTTTCTATTTCTTAATTACAAACAAAAATTGTACAATATCAAAAAAATATCTTTTATTTTCATTAATTGGTAGGAATACAGATATCATCAACGAATGTTTAAAGGAATATCAAATGGATGAAGATTGTCTAAGAGTCATTGTGCGTTCACACAACAACGAAATGCTTGAAAATTTCTTAGCTAGAGAGATTTTTACTTCCAAAGATTTTGTTGGAAAAGACTAGATGTCCGGAGCTGTTTACGAAGATATTATCAAATATCAAAACCTGAAAGCTGTATTTCTACTTTTCCAGATAGATAAAGCCTCCATTGTTTCATGGTGTGCTGCATTCCCTCAAACAATAGATATTCTCAGAAATGAAAAGCTTCCTGATAATACTTTGAATGTTATATATATTAAAAGAAACATCCTGCACTATGCATGCATGTCACAAAATTCCGATAATTTCAAGTTCTTATTTAACTCTACAAACGAAACTGATGTCAATTATCATTATGCGAATGGAATGACTGCCCTTGATTTCGCGGTACAGTATGATAATATAGATGTAATCAAAATTCTTATTTCACATGGTGCTGATGTCAATAATAAATTTATTCTCTTTCATTTCATATCAATCATGAATGTATAAAATTCTTTTTCATTTCATGTCAATCACTATCATATGACACTCTTTTTCATATAGTATCATTCATTATTATATAGAATTCTCTTTCATTTAGTATCAATCACTATTATATAACACTCTTTTTCATTTAGTATCATTCTTTGTTTTATAGAATACTCTTTCAATTAATATCAATCATTGTTATATGCTGATTTATTTCATTTAATATCGATTATTTCTTTATAGAATCGAGTAGGTGACAAAAGTGCATACTCTTAAATTAACCTTAAATGTTGATTTTTCGATATTTTCGGTATTAACCTTATTGTAAATTTTTCCGGTGATAAATTTATTACACTGAGGTTATTTTTCCGGTGAGATTTTTAACCTTGATTTAATGAAATTAATATATATAAATTTTATTATTTTTAATTTCGAATGAGTATAATAAAATATTTTTTATATGTTTTTGTTTTTGATGTGATTTGAATTTTGTTAACTCTTTTCAAAATCACTTCATTTTTATGATTTCGGTGGACTTAGAGGAGCTTATTGCTTTTGGTATTAAACAGGAATTCAAGGGCGGTGTCCCATACAGAAGAAGAACGGGATCTCCAAAGCAATATGTCACTTATTCATGTTCGTATCCCCTATGCAAGGCAAAATTTAGGGTTGAAGAACAAAATGGAGTGTTTACTATAAGCAAAGTTAATGAAGAACATTGCCATCATATAGGAGTTGAAATGGGTTCACATTACGCGAGTAAATTTTATCAAAAATGGATCGAACTTTATATTAAAAACGGTGGAAAGCAATTTCTTGCTCAAAAAGCATTTTTTGATAAGTTCGGAATTGATACGAATAACAAAGAAACGATGAAACTTTTCGCGCAGTCTACTGATGCTTTAAAGCACAAATTTTATCGCCTTGATGAGATTATTGCACAAAGATTATCAAACGATCCTTACACTTCTTTGGAAGCATTTTTGAATAATTTACAGGAAGAGTGCCCAGATGATCTCGTTCAATTTGATTACAATGGAGATTTTTCCGAGTTTACAATCATATATGCACCTTTTGCTGCAAAAGAATTGGTGCATAGCATTGATAACCCTCTCCACGTCGATTCCACTCATTCTTTAATTAAAGGAAAGATCCAATTGTTTGCAGTAACAATGAAAACAAGTCAAAACACAATTTTCCCCTTTTGCTATTTTTTAGTGAACCCTCAGACATCTGAAAAAATTCAAGAATGTTTGGTGAAATTCTGTGAGTTTGCGCACCTGGATCCACAGCATTGGAGCGCTGACTGTGCGCTAAACATTGCTCGCGCAATTGAGGACGGATTTCCTCTTGCGCAGCTCAGTTGGTGCGCTGTGCATGTTTTACGCGCATGTGCAAAAGTTGGAAGCTATTTTGACAATCCACAGAATTTTGAGAACTTCTATTTAGCAATGGACTTTTTGACATTACGTGCAGATGCAACGAATGCAGAAAAGCTGGCTGAAGAGTCTGATGAAACATATGAGTTCTTGACAACAATGTTAGAAGAAGAAGAACCGCGCGCTTTGAAGTATTTCGATAAACAATGGAGAAGAACCAAAGAACATTGGATGATGTTATATCGTGGAGAAGGTGATTCCACGAATAACATTGCGGAATCACACTTTCATCAATTAAAGCAAACATTTTTCTTGGGTAAGAAAAATGAGCGCATTGATGACATCGTCATAACTCTCATCACTGTTGTGATTCCAAATGCGATTATTAAGGTTCAAGTCGCTAATGTTTTGAATGAAGAAAGAGCAGTAAGAATTCTTACAAGGGCAGGTAATCAGATTGTTGAGCAAAGAGCTTCAAAACACGATGAATGTTTGAAATTAATTCAACACATTTTGGAAATTGTCGAAAGCCGAAGGATTGAACCTAATGTCCTTATTCCATCTTTGAAGGCAATATTAAATTTGGCACAAAGAAGTTTAAAGGAAGAGTAAGCAAGATTAGATAATTTGGACTTTTTTTAAAATTAATGAATAAACAGTATATTTTTGAAGTGTAAGCTTATTTACCTGAAGCTATATTACTTAATATAACATTCAAAGTATTATTGCTATTTATTGGAGAACAAATTTATGTAATTTTCACATGAAAATTGATAAATTTGTATTTCCTTATGATAATCAATTTTTGTATTTGTAGAGAGTCTCCCTGCATGATATCAAGACTTGGCTATTAGTCTTTATCCATTTTTGAAAATTGTATTGTAAATTGTAAGAATTTCTGAATACTACTACTATAAAATATAATTGCTTATCAATGTATATTCTCCCTGCATGATATCAAGACTTGGCTATTAGTCTTTATCCATTTTTGAAAATTGTATTGTAAATTGTAAGAATTTCTGAATACTACTACTATAAAATATAATTGCTTATCAATGTATATTCTCCCTGCATGATATCAAGACTTGGCTATTAGTCTTTATCCATTTTTGAAAATTGTATTGTAAATTGTAAGAATTTCTGAATACTACTACTATAAAATATAATTGCTTATCAATGTATATTCTCCCTGCATGATATCAAGACTTGGCTATTAGTCTTTATCCATTTTTGAAAATTGTATTGTAAATTGTAAGAATTTCTGAATACTACTACTATAAAATATAATTGCTTATCAATGTATATTCTCCCTGCATGATATCAAGACTTGGCTATAAGTCTCTATTCATTATGAGTATGACCCCATTTTTTTTACAAAAAGTGCCGAATTGCAACTTTGTCCCAATCTCTTAATATTAATCATTTTTAAATGAAATAAATTTTGGATTATTGAATGTCCTCTTTCTCTTGCTATTAAGACTAACTCAATTAATATTATCAAACTCTTAATTGAACATGGTGCTGATGTTAATATCAAACTAACTCTATTTCATTTAATATTAATCATTATTATATAATATTCTATTTCAATTAGTATCATTCGTTAATTTATTCGATTGTCTTTCAATTAAAATCATTCGTTATATTATGTAATTCTCTTTTATTTCATATTATTCATCATTATATTCGATTCTCCATCATATTATGTCATTCATTATTAAATTTCATTCTCTTTCATTTAATATCATTCATTATTATATGGCATTCTAGTTTAGTTAATGTCGGTCATTAATATATGGAATTCTCTTTCATTTATTATCGATTATTTTTTTATAAAATCTTCTTCCTTTTAATATCAATCATTATTTTATAGAATTCTATTTCGTTTAATACTAATTTTTTGTTTATAAAATTCTAATTCACTTAATATCAATCATTCTTAAATGAAATAAATTTTCAACTAACAATTGTCCCCTTGCTATTGCTATTGAGAGAAACCTGATTGATATTGTCAAACTCTTAATTGATTTTGGTGTAGATTTAAATATCAAACTTACTCTCTTTCATTTAATATTAATCATTATTATATGAAATTCTTTTTCGTTTTGTATCATTCATTAATATATTACATTCTATTTCATTTGATATCATTCATTATTTTATCTGATTCTCTTTCATTCCATATCAATCATTATTATATAAAATTCTTTTTCATATGATATCAATCATTCTTATATTACATTCAATTTCATTTAATTTCAATCATTATTATATGATATTGTCTTTAAAGTCATTTCAATCATTATATAATGGAATTCTCTTTCACAAAATGTCAATCATTATTAAATGAAGTTTTCTTTCACTTAATGTTTATCATTATTTTATGTAATTCTCGTTCATTTAATATTAATCATTTTTAAATGAAATAAATTTTAGATTATTGAATGTCCTCTTTCTCTTGCTATTAAGACTAACTCAATTGATATTATCAAACTCTTAATTGAACATGGTGCTGATGTTAATATCAAACTTACTCTATTTCATTTAATATTAATCATTATCATATAAAATTCTTTTTCATTTAAAACTAATTATTATTTTATCTAATTCTCCATCCAATAATATCATTCTTTATTTTATGAAATTCTCTTTTATTTAATGAGTGTCCTATTTTTATTGCTATTAAGAATAACTCTATTGATATAGTCAAACTCTTAATTGATTATGGTGCCGATGTAAATATCAAACTTATTCTCTTTCATTTGATGTCAATCGTTATTTTGTAGAATTCTTATTCGATTAATATCATATATTATTTCATAGGATTATCTTTCTTTTATTATCATTCATTATTTTATCTAATTCTCTTTTATTTTATATCATTCATTATTATATGGTATTCTTTTTCATATGATATCAATCACTATTATATTACATTCTCTTTCATTTAATTTCAATCATTACTATATGGAGTTCTCTGTCACGTAATATCATTCATTATTATACAGTATTCTCTTCCATTTAATATCATTCATCATTATATAGAATTCTTTTTCATTTAAAACTTATCATTATTGCATGGATTTCTATTTCATTTTAAATCGATCATTAATATATAGGATTTTCTTTTATTAAATATTATGCATTATTTCATGTAATTTTCTTTCCTTAACTATTAATCAATAATGTATGTAATTCTCTATCATTTAATATCATTCATTGTTAAATACACTTCTCTTTCATATAATGCCAATCATTATTATATGATGTTTTCTTTTACTTAATGTTGATCATTATTATATGATATTAATCATTTACAAATGAAATAAATTTTCAATTATTGAATGTCCTCTTTCTCTTGCTATTAGGAATAACACAACTGATATTATCAAACTCTTATTTGAACATGGCGCTGAGAAATTGTTTATTTCTTAATATACAATGCTGCAATTATTAATAATAATAGTACATTTTATAATGTAGTTCAATTAAATAAAAGTATAAAGAAAAAATATTAAAAAAAATTATTCTTATGAGAGAATTTTATAAAAAGCAATCAACTCACTCATTAATATTTTTGATTATTTCATGGTTAATTAAGTATCTGTTAATGCATCATCATTAATAAAATACAACATAAACTTTATTGAAAACAAAAATAATATTAATAAAAAAAATCATGGATGATATTCTATTCCTAATTCAGCATACATCTCTTCTATTGGTTTTCTATATATCTCAAGCATTTTCATTAGCAAAGAAAATGATTTTTGTATTTTTGGGCCTTCGTCTGCAAAAGCATTTGCAAAATCATCAAAATAAGAAGAATCTACAGGTATTTTGCTCTTAAACAAGTTCAATATATTGTCAGGACTGGTATGTCTTACAGCAATCCTTTTCATAATCCTATGAACGAGTCTTATTTCGTTTTCGGTCCAATTAGAAACCATTCCGTTATAAATCTGATCGAATAAAAGTGGAAATATTTTTTCTAGATCTTCCAAACTAATCATTTGAACTAACAAAGATATTAAACTGAGTGTTGCACTAACAACCCTTGGAGAACCCGAATTAAGCAACTGAGAAACGAAATCAATAGAAAAATTCCCAAAAAAGATAGATAAATTATATTTCACTAATCTCTGCGAAAATCTCAAAGCAGAAACAGCAATCATTGGGTCATCCATGGATTCCAATCTAGCTATAGCCCCAAGCAATGGTAAATGTGGTTGTATATCTAATATCTCCTCAGCCAAATCAAAATGTAGAGGAATTGGTGAAATCAACAAACTATTTGCCAAATAACTTGCAATCATTTCGTTATCAGGGCACCATTTAAGAGTCACAGCTGATAAAAATACTCTTGTGATAGTTTCGTGGATGAAGACTTCTTTGGCATCGAAATAATTCGATAAATTGGAGAAATTATTCACAAAACAATTGCAAAAAATTGAAATAAATTCTTCAGAAAAAGTTGATTTTTGTAAATGATTTTTGAGGAATTCATAGAAATCTCCAATGATGTGGAAGTTCTCTGTGACATATTCTTGACTATTATTACCTATAGAATAACTAATAACGTAATCAAACGTTTGCGGCAAAATCTGAGAAATTTTTTCACCAAATTTTTCTGTAACATTCAAAAATTGAGTGAAATTAATAATTGCAGTTAGCAAATACATAGCGGAATAAGGGTGATCAACATTTGGAAGCATATCAATTAGTCTTTCTGTTTTTTCCCTGCCTTTTATCATTGTCAAATTCTTTCCAGAATGTTTGGAAATTTTATAAACCGCGTGACAAAAAATATAAAACAAATCATTGCTTGCAAACGATAAAAGATCATCAAATATAGCTCCATTCTGCATGAAATTTATAAATAATGCGAATTTGTCAATAAATTTCATGAACAAAACTTTGTTTTGTGGTTGAAAAACGAAATCACAAATTTTTGAGGAGAAAAATTCCCTTAATTGAATCGAACTGTTAGATAACGCATAGAAAACTTTATCATTCAATCCATTTTCACTCAAGTACTCTTCAAAAAACTTTTTAACGCATTTTCCGTTGTAAACTGTCAAATTTTTGAACAAATTTTTCATTGTTTTCGAATTCATGTCCAAAGAATCAGGAACATCAAGAAAAGTTGCCAGAAAGTTACATATTTCCATAGGGAAAGGACTATTCTTCTGTGATGCAAGTACACCAACAAGATTCGATGAAGCATCAATGAGTTCATGAAATTGTTGACTTTCTGTGTCAAAATTTTTGATTTCTTCCAAAAATTGTTTTAATATTTCTCTAAACAAGTTTTGGTTGATTGTCAGGATGTAGAACTCTGGATTTATATCGAGAACTAAGTTCCAGACATAAGATCTTGCGTTAACTAGTTCTTCTGTTTGTTCTTTGATCGAATTTTGTTTAAGAACTTCCAAGAAAAATTCTAAACATAAATTTATAAAAATTATCTGTTCTCGGCTAATCTTTGAGGTTGTTAAGCTGCAACATTCTTCAATAAGTGATATTAATGCTGGAGATAACTCAAAATTTGAGTTGGAACTGATTTTTTGAACTAATGGAGAGATATCTGATGAAATAAAGTTTGATGAATTGATTCTGATAAAATAGCGAAATAGATATAGCCAGTGTTCGCTGAAGGATGTATTTGATAGTAGTTTTAAGATATTACTTGATGAGGAAATTAATTTTGATTGTAATTTTGAAAAATTAGAGCAATGATCACAATATAAGTAATCAAATAGATTGTTGAAGTAATTTATCTGAAATATTTCTGGTAAATTGTAGTATTGGCTGATATATTCTAATTTTTGAATCGCAATTGATGAAGCAATGTTGATTAATTGTAGTTGTTCGCGTTCTTCTGCTGGATTTAAATTGTTTTTAAGTCTTGAACATGAAACTTGAAAGATAGAATCGATTTTAGAAATCGGAATATCGTCAAAATTTAATAAAACTTTATCAGAAACCATCGAGCATGCTATAAATAGAGGAATACCTGGTAAATTCGATTGTATTATAAGCAAAACTGTATCATAAAAGATATTTTGTTTTTCAAAATCTTTCAAAAATTCAGTTGCCTGATCAATTACTTTTTGATCAGCTCCATTTTGAGAATCTAAAGCTGCCTGCTCAAAAGAACTGCGTGCATCGCAAAGTAATTTTTCCTCATTAGCAATCTCTTTCCTTCTTTTATCCATCTGATTTAAATTAATGTAATAGAGCATTGTACTGATGCTGTATAAAAGAAATATCTGATAATTTTTAAATATATAAATGAAATATGAAAGAATTATTATTATAAGTTTATTCTTTCTAATGTAATGTATTAAAATTAATACTATTTTTAGTCTTAATAATATAAACAAATAATTATAAACAAGGGAAAAATTAGTTAAAAAAAAATTAGAAATTGTCGGAAAATTCTTCTTCTTCAATTTCAGTTGCTTCTCTACGTGAAAAAGCAATCTTTCCTTTTTCGTGTGTCTTAAGTTTAGCCTCGATTGTCTTTATAAGCTTGGGATATTTCGATGGTTGCATATTATAAATTTTTGATGTTGGAATAACTCTGGCAATGTTTGTGTCGTATGGAGGCCAGAAAGAAGAATAAGTTGAAGTGATAGTTTTCTTGAAGGCTGCTTCGTAATCCATCTTGAGAGGCTTGCAAACAGGTTCAATAGTCTTAACAGCGGACTGCAAAATGGAAATTGGAGATGAAATATTTGTTTTAGGCGAAGAAACTTTGTTAATTGGGGAAATATCAACAGGTTCATTATTAATCCTTGTTCCAATTGGATCGAGCTTTGGAGGTACCATAAAATCACTATCTTTTTCTTTAATTTCATCATCTGATGAAGACATTAGGAATTTGGATCTACGTTTTGGTTGTTGGATCTCTGATCCTTCTGTTATCTCAAGATTTGTACGTCTTGGTGGTGGAGAAAGACCCTTTTCTGGTGATTTCACTCCAGAATCTGATTTCTTTGAAATTGAACTATTTTGTTGAATTTGAGATGGCGTATTTTGACTTCTAACGGATGACCTCGAAATTGAATCATTAACTTTTGAGTTTTGGGATTGAATTGAAGATCTAATATTTGATTCTGATTGAATTGAATATTTTTCATTATTGATAGAATTTCTCGATGATCTGATGCTAGATTCTGATTGATTTGGAAGTTTTTGGTTGTTAAGTGAACTCTTTGAAGACCTTGATTCATTTTGATTCTTTTGGAATAGATCTGCTTGTGGTTTTGGTATATCATTTTCATCATCACTAGATAAAAGTAATTTTGCAGGCATTTTCTTCGGTAATTCTGGTTCATATTCTTCTTCCTCTTCTTCTTCTTGAATATCTCTTGAAATATTTTCTCTCTTATATTCAGATGGTGATTTATATTGATTTGAATTTGGATGATTCATTTTATGATAAAGAGCAGAATCCTCTGCATCCGAATAATCGCTGTTATTTGAAAAATTGTTCTTCCTCTGTACTTCAGCTTTCTCTTGTTTTTGCGGTTTAAAGTTATATTGATTTTCTTTTGGTAATTGCTCATTTGTTTCGTTAATATACGATTCAGGTATTCTTTGTATTACTGTTGCCGAAAGGCACCCAAAGTACTGAGGTAATGGAGCTCCGTCACGTAGTTTTTGAATCGATTGTTGAATGAATTGTTGATATGACATTGAATTTATTGGAAATGAACGTTTAAAAATTAAGAACAAATCTATTATAAAAATCATACATTTTGTATTGACCTTAATCATAGAAAACCAATTACTGTCAAAAAAATCCACATTTTTCAAAAAACAACATTTCAAATCTTTTATTATTGCTTATCAAATCTCTTTGATGATTTAGTAATTTGTTTTATATTAATATGTTCTTCATTAGTAAACAAAAATTTCGAATTCAAGTTTCAAATACAATCATTTTAATAAAACATTTATACAATAACTTCAAATTGAAAGTTAGCTATAATTACAGTTATATAGGATAAGAAAACTCTTACACCTGATATATAGTGCATGGATGAATGGATTATGCTGTTTCTGGTATTTGAGAAATGTATTTCGCACGCTCTTCTAATAAATCTTGTAGTTTTTGCTCATACTGTGCAATTTCGTTAATTAAATTCTTTGTTTCGTCTTCAGAATTCATTTTTGCTGCATCATTGTGTCGTTTATTTTCTTGTGCTATTTTTTCTTTATATATTTTGATTTTTGATTCATGCTCATATATTTTTCTGTAAAGCTCATCCATTTCGTTATTTAATTTTTCAACATGCGGTCTCATTGCTGCTTCGAAGTGAACATGCTCATCCAGTTCGGCTGCCTTCTTCAATAATTGGTCGCGGAGATCTGATAGTTCATCCTTAACTTTTCTTGGCTTCTCTCGAATTGGAGTTCCTTCTTCCATTTTTTTTTTACAAAACGACGAGAATTTCTAAAAGTCTAATATGCTATATAAGAAATTACCTTTATTTATAATTAAAAATATTTACCGATTTTAGCTGGTAATATCAAGATTTTAGAAATTAGAAATCAGTAACAAAACTGATTATATTCAAGTTATTTATGCATAAATTGAGCGTTGGATCTGGAGACATTGATTTTGGAAGCCAACGAAAACAAATTAATTTTGTAATCATTAATTAACAAACCTATATCTCATACCTATTCTTCAAGTATTTACTTAAATATTGATTCAGAATTTGATAGCAACAACTGTGGTCTATTCATATTTTTCGCATCTTTTCAACCAAAGTAAAAATACAAGGTAGCTTATTTCTTTAAATCTTGTATCAATTCTTAAAATCATAAAGATAAAAAATGATCTCATTTTTTGAAAGTGGGAACGCTTTCTATCAACAGTTTATCAAAAATTTTTCAGGTCTTTGAAAAAATTTCAGATTTGCCCAAAGTTATTTGTTATTGAGAATTTTAAAATTTTAATAAAAGGTGACTTTTTCCAAATTATGTTTTGAAAGCAACCGATTTATCTAAATTTTTGTAAACAAACCGCCGTCAAATGTTTAACCAGCACCAAGTCAGTGGTTACTATTCCATCACAGACCCAATCACAGGCCTTTGCTACTATTTCTTCGCAGACCCAAACACAGGCCGTAGCTACCCTATCTTCAAAAACTCAATCATAATCCGTGGCTACCGTATCTTCAAAGACCCATACACACAGGAACCGGTCATAGTTTATGTGGATCAGAATCAACGTATCCTCTCTCCTGGTCAATTCATTTTTGATCAATATATCAATGGCGAGCCTCGCATTGCCTATAAAATCCGTGTTGCACCACAGAGATCCCGAGCTACACGAGCTCATCCTACAGTTTTTACACAAGAAGGTGCACCACCTATTGATGCCACAGCTCAATCAGCAACTGCAGCACCAGCTCAAGCTCAAGCTTCAGTTGGGTTCACGTCTCAAATTGAACCCCAACTTTCACTCTCTGATGTTGATGATCAAACCTTATTTGAAATGCTGTACAATTCATCTTGGGAGAAATAATTTTAATCTTATTTACCTCATTAAGATGAACTTACAAAACAATACCAATCACCAAATGGTATTTGATAGTAAGTCATCTGAGGCGCATATTAAAAATCCAATTTTTTGGAACTTTTCTTGATTTTTTTTTATTACAAATCGAATTTTATATGAGACCGATTTCTAGCCATGATTCTTTGAGAATACCATAATATCAAACTGCCTATATCATAACCAGAAACAACTGATCTTATATAATATTATTTTAATTGTTTTTTGATATTATGAAATATCGGTTCATCAAACATCATGATTGGCCACTATTTTTGAACTGGTGCAATGAAATTTCATAAATCATTTTGGTTGTAACAACATGTGAAACATATTGAATAGGAAGTTAACTGTGTAATCTATTAGATTTAAATAATGCAAAATTTAATTTGCACAGACCCTAGCAAGCCTATAGTAACACAAGTTTATTGATATCAAATTGAGAAATCCAATGAATAGGTTTTCAAATCTTTCCTGTCACTTTTCAAAATCTATTCAAAAATGATTGGATATCCGCCTTACTTCACCAATCCAAGAGCGAGGCTATTAAAGCCAATCAGTTTACAGACGCCAGATAATCATCCAACTTCTCCCATGAGAGATTACGAAATTCATGATATGAGTGCTTCAGATTACAGAAAACAATATGAACTTGTATATGACCCTGTGAACCCTGTGAATTACAATGGTCCAAAATTTAGTGGAGATTTCGAAAGTGGTAATTTAGGGCAGGTTTATTTAATAGGTAACAAATCATATGAAATTCATTTGCTTCCTGATCCAAACGAAACCAATACAACACAATGGTTCTTCTTCAAAGTTGAACACCTTGACCCAGGTGAGTACTTCTTTGTTATAACTGGATTTTTTAGATCATGTAATTTACATTATAAAGGATCCAAGGCAGCAGTTTACTCAGAAAACGCGGCAAAAAGAGGTATCGGCTGGCAAAGAATAGGCGAAAATCTCAATTACTTCAAATTGAAAAATTCAAAAGTTCAAGAATGGGCTTTTTCATTCAATTTCACGGTTACTCAAAAAGACAATATGTACTTTGCTCATGCATATCCATATACATATACAGATCTACAAAATTTCCTCGACAAACTACCTACATATGTATCAGTATCTACATTAACCAGAACATATGGTGATATCCCAGTTCCAGCCATTTTCTGGGATGCTGATCTCGGGAAGTGCATCGATGTCACCAAAATTACTCAGGGTGTTGAGAAAAAACCTCATGAACCTCCACAAATTTACGTCGACCAAGTTTCGGAGTTTTCTGAGTCCGTAGTCAAAATTCTTCGAAAATGGAAGCAGCTGCAGCTTGGAATAACTCTTCCACGTGGTATACCACACGACAAGAAGCCAGTAGTTGTAATTGTAGCAAGAACTCATCCAGGAGAAACAAATTCTTCTTTTGCAATGGAAGGATTTTTATCTTTACTGTTTGGAAACTCTCCGATGTCCGAGAGATTGCGAGCTTCCTTTTCCTGGCTGATTATACCAATGATGAACCCTGATGGCGTCATTTGCGGGTTCTATAGACCATCATTATCCGGAGATGACATGAATCGAATTTGGCAATCTCCTGATCCTGTTAAACATCCAACAGCAACTGCTATATTGGATACACTCAGTGTTTTGGACAAGGAAAGAGGTCTTCAGTTCTTCCTTGATTTCCACGGTCACACTGCTGCTTGTAACAGCTTCGTTTATGGTTTTGAAAACGAAGAAAGTCGAGATCTTTATACATGTGAAAGAGTTTTTCCACTTTTGATGACAAAGTTCACTCCATTGTTTTCTCATGACATGTGCAGTTTCTTGAAACAGAAACAGTACGAGGGAACAATGAGAGTTGTCTTGAGAAGAAGATTCCACATCCTTTTCGCATATACTTTGGAGATGTCATATGGTGGTTCTGATTTCGGACCAAGAAGAAAAACACAATTCACTCCTCACGACTACAGAGCAATTGGAGAAGCAACTACTCATGCTATACATGAAATGCTCCTCAACCCTGATTGCTGTGCTGCAAAGGAAGTTATGCTGATGATGCCACCACCTGAGAACTGCGAAGAGCCAGTAAATATCGATGTTCACTCTTCGATTTCGATTCAAGGAACTGCTGATGAATCTAAACCACCTCTCTTCAAGTTCTCTGCAATGGATATAACATTCGAAAAGCCAAGGCATGTGAATTTGGTACTAAAACAATCAACTTGTCAGCCGCCGAAAATGTAAGTTTTATTTACTTGCATTTTGGTGAAATTTTTTGTTTGTAAAACTTATGCAATTTTTACTTTGTTTCTTATATTTTCATTCTCAAATCAAATAATCATGAGTAATCTAATGGTTTATGATGTGAATCGATGATTCCTATTTTGGGAGATCTTTTAATATTTATGATATCTATACTATTGCATTCTATAATTGTCTAAATTTATACCTATAATAATTTTTTGAGAAGTAATTTATTTTAAGGCTGTACTTACGCCCATCTGACTTTAATTCAAATTTCTGATAACTGGCGTGAAGTGCCATTGAAAAATAACCTTAAACATCTGAATTGAAGGCCGTGTCATAGGGGCGCAAGTGCACCCTTAAAGATTGGAAATTGAATATCGGATTGTTCCGTGTCACTTTTTATATTGTCGCTAACAACCTTAAATTTATAAAAATTATCTGGGAAATTATTTTACAGCAACCCTTCACTAGTTGGCATTAGTATCTGATGCACAAGATGTTAAATACACACCGGATTATCATAATTTAGTAGACACACCAGTTGGAGGAGTTTCCATTAATCTTGATCCACGAGTTCAAATCATCCAAGGGAATGATGCAGGTTCATATAGTTTTTTAAAATGTGCGCCAACTTTTGAAAGCTTTACAGTTCAAGACGGATCAAATCTCGTTCAAATTCAAAAATATGCATTTTATAATTGCACATCATTAAAAGGTATAGATCTTTTTAAATGCACTAAGTTAACAACTATAGGTGAGTATGCATTCTCAAATTGTGTATCTGCTATCAATTTAATTTTACCAAACTCCCTAATTAATCTTGATACCGAGTCCTTTTCTTATATGCAATCGATTCAATCAATTGATATCCCTTCTTTAGTTAATTCATTTCCCAGTAGACTCTTTTATGCGTGTACAAAATTACAAACAATTAATATACCAATGAATTCACAACTCATATCATATGGGTGGAATTCACTTGGTTTGACTTTAATAAATACACTATTCATTCCACAAAAATTGAAAATACTGGCTCAAGGCTGTACTGAATATACAAATCTAGAATCATTTACAATTCATCCGGAAAACACAGAATTTAGGATAGAAAACAGTATTGTTATCTCAAAAGATAATGTTACCATCTTATATCCAACAAAATTAACAGGACATGTGAATATTCCTTATGGGATTGTAGGAATTGGAGGTTCTTCATTTAGTACGTGCAGATTTACTTCTATAAATATTCCTAATACTGTCCGAACAATCGGATCGTATGCCTTTCTTGCTACAACATTGAATGAAGTTATTATTCCTGATTCAGTAACATTTATTGATATGTATGCATTTTGTACCCCATATCTTAAGAAAGTTACACTATCAAAGAATTTAACTGTCCTAACAGAGGCATGCTTTAAAGGGACACAGATCACCGAAATAGAAATCCCGCCAAATGTGAAACAAATTGATAATATGTGTTTTACAGGATGCAAGCTAACAGTCGTTTACTTACCGGATAGTGTTAAGATGCTGAATGGAAAAATTTTTGATGATAATGTTGAAATCAAATTTGGAAATAACTCAAATTTGTATGTTAACCAGGATTTCCTCATTATGAATAAACAGAACACAACTGTCATTCAACATATAGGACCAAATTCAAATATTCAAATTTCAATTCCATCAACAGTTACAACAATCGGACAAAATGCTTTCAGAGATAAAACTAACCTAATTGAGATATCATTTCAACCAGATTCCCAGCTCGAAGTAATTAATGAATATGCTTTCTTTAATTGCATATCTATGGTTTTTACAAGATTACCACAAACAGTAAAAACAATTGAAGGATCTGCATTTTTTCAATGTTATAAGCTCCAATCAATAAGTTTCCCAATTCTTACCTCAATCGGAAAAAATGCATTTCAAAATTGCATAGGGCTTACATCAGCAGACATTCAACTTTCGAGCGTTGTCACTCTTGATGATTATGCATTTATGGGATGCAAATTATTGCCATCATTTAACTTGCCAAGAAATATCAAGTATCTTGGCATTAGTGTTTTTCAAGACTGTATCAAATTGAGCAAAGTACTATTCCAATCAACATTAATTTCCATCAAGGAATCTTGCTTCCAAAATTGTGCACTTGACAACGTTGATTTATCTCAATGCACAAATCTTCATGATATTCCAAACAGATGTTTTTACAACAACGCTAATCTCCAGAGTATAACATTTCCTCCATCGATAAGTACATTTGGAATTTCATCACTTTCGATGACAGCAATTACATCTTTCACTGCAACATCAAATGTTAACACGATATCTACGAAAGCGTTTGATGGATGTCCATTACTGACTGAATTTATCATTGATCAAGATTCTGTTCTTACTCCATCAGGACTTGGTGTTGATGTTTTCAGGAATTGCCCCAAGTTACGAAATATCACATGCCTCAGTCAAAACTTCCATGTAATCACCAGCGCATTGTTCACTCCTGATGACACAATCCTTATTATTTTCCCGCCAGCATCTCATGTTTCTTCATTTGGTCTTCCAGGAACAGTGAAAACTTTTGGCGAAGGTGCATTCTCGTTCTGCTCTAATCTTCAGTCTGTTTTCATTCCATCTGACAGCCTTACAAGTATCTCCACTCGTGCATTTGAGGGATGCACATCACTCTCTTGGATCAACATTCCTATATGCGTTCAAAATATTGGCAACAATGCGTTCAAGGATTGTTCGAATCTTCTATGTGGAGTCAAACTTGAAAACAGTACAAAAGCATTTATCAGTCAGATCGTTCCGAGCAGTGGACTCAGCAAGCAAGCATTGAACTCTTGTCGTGTTCAATCCTGTGCTCGTGGCCTTCCAAAGACTTCCCTCTCATATTCAACATTTGTTGTTATTATTGTTATGTAAAATAAATATTTCTTTTTGATTTTTTGTAATCATTTTATAATATAATTTCAATCCGTCAGAATATTGAAAGGGAAGAATCATTTGGCATGATTGATTCTTGAATATCAAATGTCAGAACGGATATTTGTAATATCTATATTAAACCTGATGAATTGTATAATTTTACAAAATATTGCTTTGCACTACATTGATGAATTATGATTTAAGTTATATTAATAAAAACAAATATCCAAGAAGTCTTCATGACAATAGACAAGGGTTCTATATGAATGATATGAATAGTATATTGAAAAAATGAACGCTTAAAATGTTCCCCAAGTGGATGTAACCTGATTGGCTGCTTATTTACTTATCAATAGATGTTATGAATAAATTTTCTATATAAGTTAATTGATGTTATGAATGAAACAATTAGCTGATAATTTTAAAAAATAAAAGGAGTGCTATATCTATTCATTGCATCTTAATCTCAAGTCGAATATGCAAGGAAGGTGAGATCACCAACTAAGTTCAATAGAATAATTCAGAAAGTAATACTGTCATAAGGAAAACATGAGAGAAATCTATTTATTTGTTGGAATAAAACAAAATCAAATTATAAATATATGACTTTGCTAAAGAAAAACTGAGAGAAATCTGTGTTTTTGTTGGAATAAAAAAAATAAAATTATAAATATATGACTTATATTGTTATTGTTGTTTATTAATGATAAAAAAATAAATTACAGTTCACCAAATTCTCCGTCATCACTGTCACTATCAGAGTCATCATCATCAGATTGAACATCAATCTTCTGCTTTGGAATCTCATTCTGTCTAATAGCAGGAGACAAAACAGATCTAATTTCCTTCAACTTTTCTTCGTAAACTTCGGAATCTTCATCTGGATTTGCTTCAATCCACTCCAATGTTTCTCTGATGACCTTCTTGATCTCCTTCCTCTCTGTTTCGGTGAGTTTATCCTTAACGTCATCCTTAGCCAATGCGTTCTTCGCGTTGTAAACAAGCATCTCCAAGTTGTTTCTTGCTTGAACTGATGATTTAGTCTTTTCATCTTCTGCTGCCCATTGTTCTGCGTTTCTGATGGCTTCTTCACGCTCTTCCTCGCTCAGTCTTGCTTCCTGGGCATTGATAGTGATGGACTCCTTGTTGTTGGACTGTCTGTCTTCGGCTGTAACTTTCAAAATGTTGTTTTGGTCAAGTTCAAAAGTGACAAAAACTTGAACTGATCCTCTTGGTCCAGGAGGTAGTCCTGTGAGATCGAAAGCGCCGAGGAAGTGGTTGTCGCGTGTCATTGGTCGCTCGCCTTCGAAGATCTGGATTCTGACGTATTCTTGGTCATCTTGTGATGTAACGAATGTCTGGGTCTTCTTGACAGGAATACGTGTGTTTCTGGGGATGAGCTCGGCCATGACTCCGCCAAAGGTTTCTACACCTAATGTAAGAGAATTGACGTTAATAATAATGATTTCTTGGGCTTCTGGGTCATCTGATAATACGCCGCCTTCTACAGCAGCACCGTATGCGACAGCTTCATCTGGATTGATTGATTTGCATGGTTGTTTGCCGTTGAAGAAATCTTTGACTAATTGTTGGATTTTTGGTAAACGTGTTGAGCCACCGACCAAGACAATTTCATCTACTTCATGTTTGGAGACGCCGGCGTCTTGGAGAACACGAGATACTGGTTCCATTGTTTTACGGAAGAGATCGAGGTTGAGTTCTTCGAAACGGGCACGGTTGAAGGTCTCAGAAAGATCTTCGCCGTCGAAGAAGTTCTCGATTTCGAGTGTAGTTTGATGAGAATAAGATAATGCGCGTTTGGCTTTTTCTGCTTCACGTTTCAGCTTGGCACGGGCTTTGGGATCCTTGGAAGCATCTTTTCCTGTCCTGCGTTGGAAGACTTCGAGGAAATGATCAACAATACGGTTATCAAAGTCTTCTCCACCGAGATGGGTATCACCAGCTGTAGCAAGAACCTCGAAGAATGAATCCTCAATGGAAAGTAATGATACATCGAATGTGCCACCACCAAGATCGAAAACAAGAATCTTGTGGTTGTCTTTCTTATCAAGACCGTATGCAATAGCAGCTGCTGTTGGCTCGTTGATGATTCTCTTGACGTCTAAACCAGCAATGGCACCTGCATCTTTAGTTGCTTTACGCTGGGCATCAGAGAAATAAGCTGGAACTGTAACGACTGCACTCTTGATTGTCTTGCCAAGATAGTCTTCAGCAACTGTCTTCATTTTGGCAAGAACCATGGCTGAAATCTCTTCTGGAGATAAATCCTTTGTTTGGCCTTCTTTAACTGTAACACGGATATAAGGACGATTATCTTTATCAATAACTTGGTATGGAAGACGTGGAATTTCACTTTGAACTTCAGGATCATCATATCTGCGACCAATAAGTCTTTTAACTGCATAAATTGTATTTGTTGGATTTGAAATTAATTGTGGAACAGCAGAATCGCCGACGTAGCGCTGTCCATCGTTGAAAGAAACGATAGATGGAGTAATTCTATTACCAACTTCGTTTGCAATTATGTCTACTTTTCCTTTTTGGAATACGCCAACACAGGAAAAGGTAGTACCAAGATCAATACCAATGACTGTTCCTACCTCTTCGTCACCCTCTGCTCTGACGAGCGAAAGTAAGGAAAACAAACAAATCATCTATTTGGTCAGATGTCAAAAAATGGAATTTTATCTGCTGATATAGCGGCCATTATTGAAATAAATGTATTCTATAGGATATTAATAAAAGGAATCAAATAAAATATTAAAAAAAATAACCCGAAATAAAAACTAATACCCTACGTTCCCAACTTCTGGAAAACGGTTTTTCACCCTTATGATCAGTTTCAGCCACTTTGGGAGTCTCCCAAACTTTGATATTTTGCATTATGATAGAGGAACGTGTCTAGTTTAACGCACAGTTGTTTTAAAGGCAAATGATGATATCACATGAAATTATCAAATTATCAAATTTTGAAGTACCAGTCCAAAGGGTTAATTAGATCCTACACAGATGTGCGATAGTGAAACATATGTGTTCTTGATTTGAGAAGTCCTACTGATAGAGGTATGAATCTCACAGCTTTGTGTGAGTGTGTCTGACACTTGTATAGAGTGGAATATGCGCCGACATATATTATATAATAACATGTAGTTGATAATTATGAAAAAATAGAATTCGATGCGAATGATATTGAAAGCTGTTTTGTAATTTGATATTTTTCTTATATGTGTTAATTAGTAAATGGCTTGTTTGTTGTGATAGTACTGTGAAAAATGAAAGGTATTTTAAATTAAAAAATTGAGATTTCGAGATATCTCTAGAATTAAGAATTTATTATGTATTTGACTTTTATATAACTATGTGTAAAGGATCTCGATGTCTATATGCTTTAAATAAAATTAAATAAAATGAGATAAAAAATTAAAATGGACAAGAAGATATATGGAAATGTAATTTGTATTGTGTTGGTTGTTGGCAAAATGATTTTAATACAGATTTAAGGATTTGGAATGGATTTGAAATTAAATGATTTTAATTCAAGGAGTAATAAGATTTTGAACTGGTTTTTATTTTGTGAATGTAAACTCCTTCCATAGGATATGTATTAGAAAGATAAATTTTAAACTTTTTGAAAGAATTGTTTTTTTGTTGAGTGATTTTCTCATATTTAATAATATATTTAAGTTGGCGTATCTTACGCCCTTCCAAAAATATGTATTAGAAAGATAAATTTTAAACTTTTTGAAAGAATTGTTTTTTTGTTGAGTGATTTTCTCATATTTAATAATATATTTAAGTTGGCGTATCTTACGCCCTTCCAAAAATATGTATTAGAAAGATGACTTATAATTTCATAAATTATTTTGTCCCGACGGTTTGAGCGGTTATCAGAATGGTTGCTTACACAATGCGTCAGCAAAATGTCGGTTGGGGTGCCCTTCTTGGCCTCCTGAGTACTCACCAAGATACCCCCAGCTCCCGCAAAACACCTCCCTTAGGTGCGCATTACCTGACGGCATTATTTTGCAATTATTTCAAATTTTTTAGATGTCTTTTGTTAAAGTTTGTTAACTAAAGACTTGAAAACAGCTTACCGCTTCAAGCTGCTCTCTTCCCGGTTCCTCTGCCGCAATCTTCTGTTTGATTGTGCGCAAAGCTCTCCTCCTTGTGAACTTTGCCTGACAGATACACCTGGGAGACAGCATTCGGACATCTTACCGCTTCAAGCTGCTCTCTTCCCGGTTCCTCTGCCGCAATCTTATGTCTGATTGTGCGCAAAGCTCTCCTCCTTGTGAACCATGGCTGATAGAAAGAACTGAAAGACAGGATAGGAGGAACATGCCGGTTCAAGTTAACTTGCAATATGCTTCTGATTAGTGATTTTAGATGAAAGATTAGCGAAATCGCATTTAATTTGGATAGAAGGATTCAATTTTATGAAGCAGGCTCGTAGAAAATATGCAGGAATAGCACAATCTTTTGCAATCACAACGCGATTGCAAAACTTCGACCGACAAGAGTGTATTGTGCACTCTTGTCGGTCTGCATGTCTCATTCCGGGAGACATTGTCACTGCATGTCTCCCGGAATGAGACAATCTTCCGCATTCATAACTTGAATGCGGAAGTTTGACCGACAAGAGTGCACAATACACTCTTGTCGGTCTGCATGTCTCATTCTGGGAGACATTGTCACTGCATGTCTCCCAGAATGAGACAATCTTCTGCAATCAGAATGTGGTTGCAAAACTTTGACCGACAAGAGTGTATTATGCACTCTTGTCGGTCTGCATGTCTCATCCCGGGAGACATTGTCACTGCATGTCTCCCAGAATGAGACAATCTTCCGCATTCATAACTTGAATGCGGAAGTTTGACCGACAAGAGTGCACAATACACTCTTGTCGATCTAAATGTATCTTACAATCAAAGACACTTTCATACAATCTTTTCGAAGTTAAAAAAAAATTTAATTATTTCTTTCTTTTGTTTATTAAATCGCCTTACTCACGTACTAATCTCTTTTAGAGACTCTATCGAGCTATCCCCACATATAAACCTGTGACAATAATACATATTTACTCTCTTCATATTCTGATCTCATGACACATTATCGCAAAAACTATAATTATACAACACATCTCATAAAGTCTCATTTTAGCCCTATCTAAGCGTTCAAAACCTATTTTCCACACGTAATCTGATTCTTCTGGCTCCGCTGATTCGATTTCTGCTGTCAGATCGTGAAAATATGCATCACATAAAGAGATAAACACAACTCAAAATTATTGCTTTTTTTTTCAAATTGTCTATTCATCCATCTTTACATATTTATTATCTCCTCCGTTTCCCCTCACAAATTCTTTTAATTTTCTGAATAATACGTATAATAAAATGAATATCTCAAAAACTAAAACACAAAATTAATGTTGGAAAATAACTAGATATAATCTGAACTTTTGAATTCATACATTTTTGGAAAAAATTGAATTTTCAAAAAAAGAGCTTATTTAGGTATGAACCTGAAGAGAAATTTTAAGGAAAATATTAAGTTGTGCAATTTGCATTTATCTCTTTATGTGATGCATATTTTCACGATCTGACAGCAGAAATCGAATCAGCGGAGCCAGAAGAATCAGATTACGTGTGGAAAATAGGTTTTGAACGCTTAGATAGGGCTAAAATGAGACTTTATGAGATGTGTTGTATAATTATAGTTTTTGCGATAATGTGTCATGAGATCAGAATATGAAGAGAGTAAATATGTATTATTGTCACAGGTTTATATGTGGGGATAGCTCGATAGAGTCTCTAAAAGAGATTAGTACGTGAGTAAGGCGATTTAATAAACAAAAGAAAGAAATAATTAAATTTTTTTTTAACTTCGAAAAGATTGTATGAAAGTGTCTTTGATTGTAAGATACATTTAGATCGACAAGAGTGTATTGTGCACTCTTGTCGGTCAAACTTCCGCATTCAAGTTATGAATGCGGAAGATTGTCTCATTCTGGGAGACATGCAGTGACAATGTCTCCCGGAATGAGACATGCAGACCGACAAGAGTGCATAATACACTCTTGTCGGTCAAACTTCCTAATACAAAATTTGATTCCCTTATTATCTTCTTAACAAAACTTAAGATATCAATAATACATCATGAAAACATTCATTTACTACATTCACACTGTTATTCCTTTCTATAAATTAACTCATTTAATAGAATCTTGTTTTTATATCTTATTATTTTCTCATAATACTTCTAATTCCTCTATTTCCTCTTCCACATAAAATTTAATTTTGTAATGCTATCATATACACTTAATGTTTTCAAATTTTCAGATTTAAATTTAATCTTTATTTTCATCATCATTTATAATCTTGTTCCTATATAAAGTTATAATAAATTATCGTCAGATTCTAATATTTATGATTCTTACTACTCAATTCAATATAATTATGTTAGTCACTCATATTCAGGAGAATAATTTAAAAATCTATAGCTCATATTTTGATAGTTATATATTTAGATGATATATATTGCAATTCCGGTTTCAACACGATCAAATGCCAAACCAAGACAAAATATATATGAATTTTCAAAATATCGATTTACATTAGAATCTATATCTAATTTTATCAATACACAAGTAGGGAATGTTCAATACATCTTTGAGCAACGTGAATAGCACAATTTTATAGGATTATTTGTTGATTATATAAAATATAAGCCAAATCGAATCTGCTGTATAGTACTTTAGTTTATCATTGAATGTTAAATGTGTTCAGATAAATATTTGAGTCAGATATCGCATTTTCTAATTTCAAAATTTATCTCATGAAGTTAGAATTTATTTGATCATACAACATCATGTTAGTCAAACCAGAGTTCAATGGCGATTCTAAAATGGAACAAATGCTTGTTTTATCAAAATGTTAAAATATTAATCTAAAAAACTTAATATCTAACCAAACCATTCTAGAATTATTATATACAGGTATAGGCAATCTAAATGCACACGGAATTCGGAAAATTAAAAAGAATATTTATGAGATTATTAAATCTTATGTAATTCAATGAAAAGTAGATAATATGAATATCTATAGGCTATATATCAACATATGAGTTTTTGGTTTGACCAATACTATACTAATGTGATCAAATTAATCTGATTTCTTAGATTTTCATTTGAAGCATTTGCAGTAGTAGGGGTACCTTTATATATTAACATATTAAAAAATTGCGCTCCGATTCGCAGTTTCTTCATGATTTTGAGATTGCATTAGATTTCGCGATGCAGAAAAAAATCACTTTAGATTCCCGTCAAACTCTAAGTATAAGCATGTCTCTATATGTAGAAACTGTCTGCGCTATTTATTTCCCGGCTCAAAAAACGACGGTGTCTGTGTGAGGAAAATACCCATTTTAGGACCCTGGGTAGGGGGTCATGAAAATTTTCCAAGAGTTGGAAATATAGGGTATCATGGAACAACATACTTTTTAATTATAGATAGCCTACACATATATCGTGTGCATATAGGAAGCCGTAAAACACCGTCTTTATAAATTCCGATTTTGAACTTCGAATATATTGATACCCATATCAAAGATTACATTCAAGAGTATAATTTCTTTAACATATTCGAAGTAGAAGATATCTCTGGTCCTCAAAGAGCAAAGAATCATATCTGCATTAACTTATGCTCAAGTTTTCTATTGAGAGACATCCAGATAACTTCAGCAGAAACGAATTACAGACATGTTCACTCGCTCAATGTGGGTCAACTACAAGTGCAACATTGAGAAATATAATAGATAACAAATCATTATGAGCAACAATCACTTGTTATTGTTGACAACACACGTGATTGTTGCAAACAAAGATTCATATATCATATAAGCTTTCCTTAGCAATTTTCAAATTTAACTGGATTTCCTTGTAAATATGTTAATTTTTGAAAAAATTATGTTGTTTCTTAAATTTCACTCGAAATTATTGGCTTATTTAACGACAGATTGTAATTCTTCTCAATCCAGCCAAACAAAAAAAAATGCCGGGTTTAGCGGGAGCTCTCGTTGACTATTGGTATGATTTTAGTTATTTCATCAAAAACTTATCAAAAGATGATATCATCGCAATTTGTAGCGAGTATTATGAAAGTGTTTACAACTTCTGTGCTGATATGAACTATGAAATTGCCAATGACTTCCTTTTCATGACAAAGCATTTCCCAATTTTCATGATTCCACAGATTATATACACATGCATTCTTGTTAAAAGGATGAAAATAGGCTGGACATGGTGGAAGAATTTCTTAACTTCATTTTTCGTTATTTTCTCCGGACGTAACTTATACGCTTTATTTGTTGGTCGTCAGTTACCTCTTCTCGAAAGCCCTGCTTATACATTCACCTTCTTACTTTGCTGGTTATTGATCAACGTAGGTCCATATGATATATTCTATAATATTTTCAACCTCGGTATATTCCATATCATATTCCAGATGTTTGCGGTCATTATCAATTGCCGTGAAACAACACATGGTGTTGATCTTGGCACCCGCAGCTTCCCATCTTCACATGCAGGTATAATCTTTGTCGCTTTAGTTCTTTCAAGTTCAGAGATCGTAATTTGGAATCTTTCAATGCCAGAAACAAGAATTTACTCAATTTTCCAAATTTTACTTAACTTAATATGGGCAATCATCTACGATCTCAACAAGTCTAACCTCCTCTTCTCAGACGAAGAAAACCACTCAGATCAGCTCAAAATTTGGGCTCTTGGAGTTTATTGCGCTTTAAGACTTATTGACATTGTTGTATTCCAATTAAAGAACCATCTCGGATTGGGAATGTTATTTACAAAGCTGTTCAACTTCTTACCATATCATGGCAATGACGAATCTTGGAAATAAATGTTGAGTAAACAAATCGATTTAAAATATACAAGTTACTAAAAATATTTGAAGTTTTTTACATAAAAAAAGAACAGTGAAAAATAATTTGAGAAATTATTTAAATAATGAGATAAAATTGAAATATTTTGTTGTAACTATAAGTTTTTTTCAAGGAAATACGGAAGTTAGCTGAGAAAATAATAGAAAACTGAATATAAAATTTTAATAAAACATATTTTTCGAATTTTTATTAGTAAAGATGGATATAGGATTCAAAATAAAACATATAGACTTATTTTATTTTTTAGTTTTTCTCTAAAAATTTCTTGAAAATCGAATTTTGATGATAAATACTAAGAAAATTGAAGTTAAATTTTGAATTTTGAAATATTTTTGGAACAAAAACAGGTCTAAATATCATTATTTCTGAATTATTTATTACACTTAGAAGAAGATCTATTAAGAAAAATTGATATTTGAAGTTAAATTTATAAAATATCAAAAAAATTAAATTTAAAAAGAGCTTGAAAGTTTAAGAAATAAGCAGTTTAGAGGCCGAGAACCTTCCAGGCTGTTTCCTTCTCGCCGATGAGTTCCTTCTCTGTGGCTTCGAGCCTGCCCTTAACCCAGTCATTGAGTTCGAGGCCCTCGACAACGTGAACTTCACCATCCTTAGAAACTGTAACTGGGAAGGAGAAGATTGTGCCTTGCTTGATGCCGTATGGTTTGTTGTCTGGAACTGGGATAGCCATGGAGACGAAATCGCCTTCAGCTGTGCCGTAGAGCCAGTCCTTAACGCATGTGAGAGCAGCGTTAGCAGCAGAAGCAGCGGAGGAGGCACCACGCATCTTGATGACGGCGCCACCACGTGTAGCGATCATCTGAGCGAACTCGCCCTCGAGGTACTCCTTTGGAAGCTTGTCAGCAACCTTGACTGTGCCTTCTGGGAGATCGACTGTAGCGTGTGTTGTATCTGGGACCTGTGTGTTAGAGTGGTTACCCCAAATGCAGACCTTGTGGATCTTTTCTGGTGTAACACCGAACTTGGCAGCGAGAGCGCCAACCATTCTGTTGTGGTCAAGACGTGTCATAGCGCACCAGTTCTTATTCTGGAGCTTTGGAGCTGAAGCCTGAGCGATAAGGCAGTTTGTGTTGGCTGGGTTGCCGACAACAAGAACCTTGACTGTTGGCTTAGCGTAGTCGTTGAGAGCCTTGCCCTGAACTGTGAAGATGCCACCGTTCTTGGCGAGGAGGTCAGAGCGGTCCATGCCATCCTTACGTGGGAATGAGCCAACGAGGAAGGCAACATCAACACCCTTGAATGCCTCTTCAACCTTGTCTGTCCAGACAATGCCGGCAACGTTAGGGAAGGCGCAGTCCTGAAGTTCCATGACGCAGCCCTCGAGAGCCTTCATGCCAAATGGGATTTCGAGAAGGTGAAGAACAACCTTGCGGTCGCCGCAGAGATCACCCTTGGCGATTCTGAATGTAAGAGCGTAGCCGATTTGGCCAGCAGCACCGGTGATGAGGATGTGGATTGGTTCCATATCTGAAAGTGATGTGAAATTAGTTGCAGAAAATTTTGATAATAGAATGACCGGTTTGTTTTTGAATATTTCAAAGATCATTGGTCGATTTGACGAAACACTTCACCCAAATAGAAAATATGATATTGATTAATATTCACCAAAAATTCAAATAAGATTGAGGATGCGAAAAATATTCATTGAGTTCTCTCAAAACACATTTTTCAAATTTTTTCATAGCTTTGTCATTTTTGCAAAACAGCCTCATATTTCGAGATAACGTGCACAAAATACTCGTGGAAATAATTCCAATGTTTCAATAATTCAAAATTGTGTCTCTCTTCTTTACTGAACGAAATCATAAAAATTTATATGCTGATTTTCAGTTCAGATATTCGTAAACCCCAACATAGCACTTTACTAATCGACAAGTGAATACCAATTAATGGACAAAAACCTTTCCAAATTGGTTTCCCTCACTCTTTTATTTATCTTTTATCCCTTGTTGATTTCTCCATTAAATTTTATGCAATTTATAGCTGTATGTTTTGCAATCAAAACAAATTTCTTTAAATTTTGATTGTCATGCATTTGATATTTTACGATTGCATCTACTGTCATAATTTTTCGTAGAAATAGATTCATTTATGATTTAGATCCCAATACGATTACCTTGATTTAAGAGTGTACGATTGTTGATAGCTCATTCTTCGATACAATCATTACTTGAGAGTCACTGATCATTACTTATAGAATTGTATAACCCAGTTGTAAAGGTTAGTTTTTAAAATGATTATTTAATTACAAAAGCATATTGTTAGAATTTATAATAATTTTTTTAATATTTTGCTTTGACTCGATTACTTCTGGAATTCCCTCGTTTACTAAAACAAAATATACGAAGACAGAACAAGTGAACTGAACTACTTCTTCTCGATATTCAATTTATTCACAAATAATCCTAAAACACGTACACCCTCTCATTGAATATCCACCACAAGAGGTTTTCTATTTATTAGAGCTCCTCAATAGTTCATTATTTGCTGATTTTTTCATATTTTGACTAATGTTGTGTTGGTAAATTTCCCTTATGATTTGCGATTTCTGCATTAATGGCTTGATCTAGAAGTCTTCTCTAAAGAATTCCATGCAAATCATTTTTTTTGGTATTTGATAGCTAAAGATGGCAAATTTTAATTTCAAAATTTTTTTTTCATGTCATCAGAAAGTAGGTTCCAGCAACGACTTGTTGAAACAATTAAGACTGGAAAGCTTGAAGATTTTATTGCCTTGAAGGTCAGCAAGAACGAAATTAATACAAAACTTCTTCCAACAGAAAATATCATTCCAGTACCTAAATATTCTACAAAGGATACATATTTTTGCCCCAAAGAACCAACACCATTAATGCTTGCAGTTCTTTGCGAGCGTGATGACATAGTTAAATATATACTCGATAACTTAGAACCAAAACTTGAAATTAAATCTAACGGATTCAATGCTTTTCATTTATCAGTACTTACTAAAGATCATAAGTGCTTTGATCTTTTATTCTCCTGCCAATATTATCAAGAACACGTCGATGAACCAATTGAAATTCCAGCACAAACCAAGAAAGAATTCGAAACAATTATTATTCATCCAGCTGTATCATGTTCTAACTACTATGCTGTCCTTGCTTTGCTATCTCGTCCCCCAGAAATTAAATATCCAGATAAATCAAGAACAAGTGATGAACCATTTGTATACAAATCAGTTGATGTGAATGCAGTATCACAAACTGGCTCTACACCATTGAAAATTTCCGTTCATTGTAGGAATACAGATATGGTTTGCATATTAAAGTTTTTTGGAGCATCAAATACGGAACCAAAAGAATCAAATGCTCAAGATTACTTAGATATGCTTGTTAACAAACTCAAAGAGTCCAATTCTCAATCAAAAGAGAAACAACTACAAGAATACGAACAAATTCAAAAATACATGAATGAAAAAGATATTTATTCAGATCTTAACAGGATCAAGATTCAATGTGGATTTAAACAATTAGATATGGATGAAGAAGAAGAGGATTATAATGATATTCCTGTTGCTGCAGCACCAACAGTGAACAAATACAATGAAAACATTGTTCAATCAATTGCAAAGTCTGCCAAATCTCACATTTGCCATGGCAATAACTGCAATAGAGAAGGAACAATTCTATATGATGTGGATGGCTTTTATTATTGCCAAGTTTGTTATGAAAAAGCTAAGAAACGCTAAAATGTCATTATGAGTTTTACAAAAGAATATTTTTTAATTTATTTTGATTTTTTTAAAGGATGAACTTATAACTTTCTGACTTGCTATGATTTGCATGCATTGATGCTGTATTCGTCATTAAGAATTGAAGGAATTTGATATGCTTTTCACGCCTAAATTCATTTTTTATTTTTTATTTTTTTATTTTTTTTTGTGTGTGTCTGTGTGTGTGTGATACCAGCATTGTTTCAAGGATCAAATTTCTGGTGCTTTAAGTTAAATTTCAGTAATGAACCACGCTAACTGTCAATAATTTGTTTAAGGTCGGGAAGAAGTAACTGTAAATACATTTCTGCTGTTAAAATAAAGATATATTGATTTTTAAAGATATTGATTTGTTTTCATTCAATATCATTGTATCTCTTAGATACATCAATCCACGTCGTATATATAACTTTAAGAAATTTCATATAAAACTTTTTAGATGATGTAATTGAAGTATGTAAACTACTCCATTGGATTGAAAATGTAAATCCAGTGGAGCTTTAATTTTCGAATATTATATTATTTTGAAACAAGAAAAACTTGTAAAAAACAGTTTAGTTTATTAATCAGCGTTTTCTTTCATAAATTCAGCAAACTTTTCATAGAATCGAGGATCTTCATCTTCATTAGCAAGTTGATCAGAAGCTAAATCACTTCCCAAATTAGATAGCATTTCATTTGCAAATGCATTATCAGGATCAATTGTAATTGCTCTGAAATACATTTTATATGCTTCTTCACGTTTATCCATGAGTTGTAAAGTAAATGCAAGTCCGATCAAACATGTTAAATTGTCTGGTTCTTTCTGGATCGCCTCTCTATACAATCTTTCAGCTTCGATGAAATTATTATTTCTTCTGTAACAAGTTGCGGCATTAATAATATATGCATTGCATACATCTTTTGCAACAATAGCTTTCTGGAAAGCTTTTAATGCATCAGAAATACGGCCATTCTTCATTAATATGCATCCAACTTCATTATAAACGTATCCTGACGGTCTGCACATCTGGAGATGAGCTAAAGCCAATGCAAAATCATTGCTCTGAACGCAAAAGTATGCAGCCCATAAATGTAAGAGATTTAATTTTGGAAATGCTCTGGCAGCTGTCATGATTACTGATAATGCCATGCGATTATCATTATCATTCTTATAAGTCATCGCGTATGCTAGCCATGCAGGAGCAAATGAAGGCATTCGCTTTAAAGTAAACCATAAGAGAGAACGAGCAGCATCGCTTCTTCCGCTCATTGCAACATGACAGCCAGCAGCAAAAGAGGCAAGATAAGAGTCAGGTGTAGTTTCTAACAATCTCTGAGCTACGACAAAGAGATCATGAGATTTTCCAAGTGCCATACAAGCAGAAACGAATGCAGTAATTGCTTTATCTGAAGAAGGATTCTCTTTGAGAAGCTTGGATGCGGATTCAAATGCTGAATTTGCGTCGCCTTCGAAAAGCCATGAATTTACAGCAATTGAATGTATTTGTTCTGATATTTTGGAATTATTCTTGTCTTTATAGATTAATGATGATAATAATGACTCAGAAAGCAAATGATGACTTAAAAGTTTGTTGATTGGATCATAAAATGTTGGATCAGCTACGAATGAATCTTGCAAATATTTTCCACAGTATCCAAAATCCATTTGTTTTAATAGTAAAAGACCTCTCACGTAAAGATATTTGGGTTCTGTTTCTTCTTCTCCTTCGGAAATTGAATTTAAGTAAATTTCGCAGTCTTTATAGCGTTTGAGTTTGAGTAATGAAAGCATATACCAGTAATTTACTAATGTATCGAACTTGTTTTCGTTCTTTCTATCATCAATGTATAGAATTAAGCGGTGGTATTTCCTATTAATAAAAAGAGATCGACAAAACTCAACTTCATCTTTAATTTCTTCTGTGTCAGTAGTCAGAAGATTAATAAACTTTGAAGTAAAGTCTGAAATCGTCGCCATAATTATTACGTAGCCGTTTAAAATATTGAAAACCTCCAATTTATTAGTATTTTTTGCAATTTGAATTGATTTTTGGTATTTCCAAGTGAAATTATGGACATATTATCGATCATGAATCATAAAAAACTTTTCACGACTTGTGATATGAAAATATTTTTTTTGATAAACAACACATGTCTCAAGATCCTATGAGCAGGTATAAGAGAATCCAACAAATTGGAAAAGGTAGTTATGGAAAAGTCTATTTAATGAAAGATAACAAAAATGGTGACTATGTTGTCGTTAAAACAATCAAAATCAAAGGATCAGATGATAGTTCACGCAAAACAGCTCAAAAGGAAGCTACACTTTTAAGTAATCTTCGTCATCCAAATATTATTGCATACATAGACTCATTCTATACACCACAAGGTGATTTTAGTATCGTTCTAGAGTACGCAGATGGAAAAGACCTTCAGAAATATCTAGAAAGTCACGAAGAAATCAAAGAGAAAAAGGTATTACAGATTTTCACTCAAATAATTTTAGGTCTTGAATATATTCATTCCCAAAATATTTTGCACAGAGATATCAAAACTGCAAACGTTTTCCTTTTCAAACGCGGACTTGTCAAGCTCGGTGATTTTGGAATTTCTCGTGAAGTTACAGAAGATTCTTTCGCTCAAACAATGATTGGAACACCATACTTCATGTGTCCAGAGCTTCTTAGGGGTGATCCTTACAGTTTCCCAGCTGATATTTGGGCTGCAGGATGCGTTCTTTTCGAATTACTTACTCATAAGCACGCTTTCACAGGAAAATCTCGTGAAGAGCTCTTTACAAATATTAAATCTGGAAACATGAGCATGATGCCATCAGGTTACTCTAAAGAACTTATCGAATTATTAATGTCGATGTTACAACAAGATCCAAATGATCGTCCTACATGCAAAGAGATCCTTGCATCAAATATTATTGGCCATGGCTTAAACGAGCTCCAAACTGAGCTTTCTAAGAAATGCAATTCAAATCCATCGAGCGGCCGCAAATCTCAGATCCCACCACCCTCCAAGAATGCACCATCATCATCCCGCAGTTCATCCCGCCAGAACATGTCTTCTCAATCCAAACTTGATACAACAGATGACGATGAAATCGACCAGAAAGAAATGCCAGCATGGCTGAACAGAAATGATCAAAACTTATGCAATGATCTCGTTAGACAGTCGCAGCGCCACCTCGAGAAAGACTCTAGTTGGCTTCTTGGAGTTATCAGATCTTCAATTTCTACGAAAGCTATTCCGAAACAAACAGTTTGCGATCTAGGAAAGCTTACAGGTAAAATTGATGAAAGAAGAAACGCTCTTGTGTCCGCAGCCAAATCTGCACTTGGATCGAACTACGAATACGCGTATAAATGGATTAAAGAGTATGGCCAGGATAGAAGAAAGGAACTGATGGAGAAGATGCCTCCAGGAACAGATTATGAAAAAGAATTCAGGATGTTAGAAGTTATTACAGCAATAGAAGAGCTCGCATAAACGATATTTTTGTAATATATAATAAAATATCATTCAATTTTTTATGTTTATAAAAAATTATTGAATTTCAAGATTATGATAAATAAAATACATTGTTCCTTAATCAGAAATATTCTATCCTAATCTCGAAATCGCTCTTACAGTTTTCTTCCATTCTTCTTCTATTAGTCATCTAGTATCTGCAAAGTCTAAAACCATTATACCAAAATCAAGGAAGCATCGTTACGATTTTGTAGAGCTACCTTTATGTAATCAATCAGATCCCATGAGAAACCAATGGAATCTGTGGAATCTTTGTCACTTTTTAGTTTTCCATGTTTAGAAATTCATCAATTCCTGGGGTTGTTGAACTTAAACATGTTCCGATTTCAAATTTTGATGAAAACGAAAAAGAAAGTGAATGGATTTATACAGTTAAAAAATACTGGAGCCCAATTTTATCAATTTTAATTTCAATTTTCGGAGGAATTGTCGTTGGCTTAAGCGCGAGATCAATGATAGAATCTTATATATATGGATATTTACTTGGAATAGAGTCAATTTTATGCGCCATTATTTCATTTTTTATTTCATGCACGAAAGAAAAGAGAGTATTTCAAAGATTTGTTTTATATTTTGCAATTGCCGCAGTTTTCTCCCCATTATCTTGCTGGTTTGGATTCAAATTAGCATAAAAATAGGCAAAAAATCCTTGAAATGATCGTTATACTTTATATTTACTTGATTTACATGCATGCTAATAATATAATATACAAATTTCTTTTATTAGGGAATTTCAATTAAAATACTTGCCAATTATGCTTGAATCTATATGCATATGAAATTTAAATGTTAGTTAATTTCATTTTCAGATAATCAGCAGCATTGTTCTGGCCGAACATTGCTTATTTCCAAATAACTCAGATAAAATACAATTAATCTTCTATTTACAGGCCAATTACATGATTCATCGAATTTTTATATCTATTCTAATCTGTTCGTAATAAAAATTTGTTTTTGAAACGGCTTTTTAAATTTTTCATATGTTATTTTGCGAATTTGTTTTTAATTCTTCAGGAAACGTATTCAACCATTCTTAGTTATAGCTATTTAGGTTTGTAAGTTCTCATTTAATAATTGGGAAGCTAATTTAGATTCAAAATGGCTCTAAGAAGGATAAATGCTTTAGAATATAAGCGAAAAATCAATCACAATCTACAAAGAAGGATGTTTTTAAGATGAATATAACCAATTATGATTCTCATTTATAAATGTCACTTTTTGTGATACGTTAGTACAATGTCTTCTACTGATTACACAGAGTCTACAGAGGCTACATACTCTACAACAGCAGATGAAACAGAGGAGGCAGAATCAACTGAGCAGACCAATAGCGAAAAGCAAGGTGTAATGCCAGTATCAAACGAAGAAAATACAGAAAAAGAAACAACAGAGGAAGAGCCAAAAGAAGGAGAAGAAAAAGAGGGCGAAGCTAAGGAAGGCGAGGAAGGTGCTGCTCCACAAGAAGGAGAAGAACACAAAGAGCCAGAACCAGAGCCCGAAGTTGATCCTCTTGAAGGCGTTGTCTACATGAAAGACGAAGAAGCTAAAGAATTAACATTGAATGCATACGGAGATCCTGCTTATTGGGAAGCTCGTTACGTTGCTGAACCAGATAATTTCGAATGGTATCAAGATCCAGAAGCTCTTTCTTATCTTCTTAAAGAATATTGCGAAGGAGGCGAAGGACTTAAAGCTTTGGTTATTGGAAATGGTATGTCAGAGTTACCTGTTGTTGTTGCAAATGCAGGTGCTGAAGCAGTTACTGCAATAGATATTTCAAAGACAGCAATTAAAAAATCGCGTAGAGCACACAAAGAATCCGAAAACATTACATGGAAAGTTATGGATGCTTGCAATATGAAATTTGAAGCTGGAGAATTCAAAGTTGTTGTTGATAAAGCATGCTTCGATTCAATATTATTCGGTTCAGAAAATGACGCTAAGCAAATGATTTCAGAAGTTGCTCGCGTTCTTGCAAAGAAAGGTGTATATATTATTGTTTCTTGCTATGCACCACAAGATATTCAATCATATTTCGATAATCCAGCAGAGCTTCTTCTTAAGGTTGAAAAGACTGTAGAACTTCAAAAGCGATTACCTTCGGAAGCTCCACATTACGTATATGTAGTTCGTAAAGTAGGAAAACTACTTAACTAAATGAATTTTATTAATATAAACTTTTATTACATGATAAAACCTTTTTTCACAACAGAATGTTCTTCAATGGTTAGAGAGATTGACTTTAATTTTCATGAAAAGAGAAAAATAAATTACACTTTGCAGATAAATTATATAAGTAAGAAATAAAAGAAAGAATCTCGAGTTTCACTTCGAGAGTTGATAACGAATGAACAAGTTTCAGTTTTGGGTACAATGCTAGCTTTTATTATATTAGGTGATGCTACTCACACGCAGAGAGCATTCGTGCAATGCAATGAAAAAAATAATTATTCCTGATGTTTAATTTAAACGTGTATTTATTCAGTATATAACACTATAAAATAACATTAAAATCAATCCCAATCTTCATTTACATCATTTGGATTAACATCAAAATCAACACGAACATCATCTTGATATCCTGGATCTCCAGGCTTGATAACATTCATTTCGAATTCTTTATTCATTTGATCCTTAAAACGATCGATATCTTCCTTCTTTGCTTTACCTAAATCTAATTTTGGTGATTTCTCTATAATATTTTGAATGAATTTCTTAAGTTTGTTCTGATCGATTGAATCTTTATTGAAGTACATTTCGTAGTCTGTCACAAATGTTTGGTAAAGAGCGTCTTTATTTGAAAAGTATGAAAATGCGACATCGAATCTTTTATATTGATATTTATTATTTTCATCAAGATACTCTATTGATACTGAAGGAGAAGAACCGAATTTAGCTCCCAGGCGTGTGATTTTAACAGTCATGTAAAAAAGTAAACCGATCTATTGTCACTTTTCTAACAATAATTGAATACATTTTCTAATTACTATATCATACCGAAATGCATCACTAGCAAAAGTGACATTTGGCGCCAATTTTAAATTAGTGGATTTTGTGTTTATTATTTAAAAAAATATAATTGATAAAATATAATTAACATTAATAGAATAATATGGATAAGATTTGATAAAAAACAATCATAAATTTTTTTTTGGGCGCCATATAGAGAACTATAGTCTGCGAGGTACTGATTCTATCTATGTACCTCGCAGACCATAGTTCTCAGCCAAAATGGCTGAAAATTGCTCACAATTGTTGAAATTGTGAGCAATTTTTAGCCGTTTTGGCTAAGAATTGGAGGGTGTGAGTACTATAGCATGTAATAGTATCTCACACCCTCCAATTCTTCCTATGGCGCCGAAAAATTTTTGGTGAAATGCGACGACATTTCACCAAAAATTTTCGGCGCCATATAGAGAACTATAGTCTGCGAGGTACTGATTCTATCCATGTACCTCGCAGACCATAGTTCTCAGCCAAAATGCCTCTAAAATTTGTATACCTATAAACTCAAACTTCAATATATTCAATTTTATTTTTATAATTAATTTAAATATATCCATATAATTCTAATGTTTTCTTTTAATTTAAAAAATAATAATAATAATTAAAAATAAAAATAAACTTTTCTATAATATTTATAAAGCTGATTTGATATATAACACATTTAGCTTAACAAAATAACTTAGAAAAATTGCCGCGCAAAATAAGAGTAAGTATCACTTTTTTGTCACTTTTCTAGTGATGCATTTCGGTACGGAACAACATTTTCTAATTACAAACAAAAAAACTGAAATAAATAAGAATGAAAGCTTATCCGAAGTTATATGTAACAACTTCATCTTCATCTTGACAGCATCCTGCGCACGTGCATTTGCATCTTGTGCAGCAGAACCATATTACACCAAGAATTGCAGCAATAAGGATTAAAACTGCAAATACTATGAGGACAATATAACCTGCTTTGAGACCTATATGAGTATCTTCTGTCGTTGAATTGGATGTCTCTCCAGCACTTGTTGGAGAAGGAGTTCTGACTGGTCGAACAGGTCTATTGTAAGTGAGATCTAATCCAGAAAATTCAGGAGTAAAGCTAGAATATACTGATGGCGCATATATTCCATTATTGATGATCCTGCAATCTTCTGGAAGAACAAATCCATATGTTGTGTAAAATCCTACGTTTGTGAAGGATGCCACACTGGTAAGAGTTCCATTTATTCCATATCCGCTAGGAGGACTTATATCTGCATCTTCAATTGTGATATTATCGACATTAAAGTACTGATTCGTGTACATTTGGGTGTGATTGATAACAACATAATAGCCTGGGTAAAAATCAACAGCATTCTGTGTGAAATTAAAGGCTCCACAAGTCCTTGTAGTATAAAAATACTCTGCAATAAAAGATCTTCCTTCAAGGTTAAGACAAGTACCCCCAGTTGAGACACAATTATCAAATGTTGTCATATAAAAGACTATATTCTTGGTTCTAGACCATATGGCTCCGCCGTTTCCATTTGATGAACAATTAAAGAATACAGTATCAACTAAAACTAGATCATTTGTAGAGTTTTGATAGATTGCTCCTCCATCATTTGGTGACGAGCAATCATAAAATCCGCAATTCTCGCATTGAATATGACCTGTTGTATGAACAGCAGTTAGAATTGTGTCGTTCCATGTCGTATTTCTAACGTATGTGCAAACTTGATATAAGGTAAAGGAATTTTGGGTATGAAATCTTTTATCATCGATATGGCCACATCTTTTATCGTCTATAGGATTAATTGTAATTACCGATAGAAGGAATTTTTGAAACAAGCTATTTATAATATCTAACCTGGCATTATCGTAAGATCTAACAAATCCATCAAATGAGCGCGATATTCTGGTGTTTTTAACTAGTAATGAACCAGAAAATGTATTTTTAGGTATCGATATCAACGGCGAGTGATATGTAAGCCTTGAAAGCTGAAGAGAAAGTAAAGTTTTATTCAACATTTTTATAAAATTTATAAACGAGCATTTTTTATTTTTTTGAATAACTCATTTATAGTTCGCAGCTCTTATCAGCAATTATAAAATACAATGATTTTGGGCGGATTATAGAGACATTTGATAACTTTGGATCAAAAACCCGGCTTTTAGGATAAAAAGCAAACAGGACGCATGTCAGGATTAATTAATAATTGTTTAACACCTTTAATTGATATATCTTGAATGTGGGCATTGAACGACATAAGTGCTTAATGTGCTCTTACTGTTCGCTATGTGTTAACCCGAGACACGTTGCCTGTGCAAGTCCGTCGGAATGACACACTGCTCTGCATTCATTTATATGTACACTTGTTGATCGCAATATACCATTTTGTGAGACATTGCCTAAGCAAGTCTCCAGGGATGTGCACAAATTTTCAATAATAAAAAAAATGATCAAGGTGCTTGCAGAACACTTAGATCACTTTAAAGAAATAACAGAGACGCAAAGATCATTTGATAAAGATCTTGCAATCAGCACACTTGAAGAAATGAAGATATTGCTGACAAAATGCCATTATTTATCCAATGAAGCCACAAAGCTTGCAAAATATGATCGATTAATATTCAGAGAAATACTCGAATTGGGCTCTATATTAGCCGTAAGAGCGAAAAATGATTTAGAAGTGAGAAACATTTATCAACAATTACGTTTCTTCTATTTTGAGAACGAAGATCTTCCAATTTCACAAAGAATGTTCTCAATTATTACAATTAATCTTCTTTCATGCTATTGCCAAGGTTTAATTGATGATTTTCAAACAGATCTAGCACAAGTCATGAATAAATACGACAAAAACATGTACATTCAGTTTATCCTTGATGTAGAGCAGGCAATAACAGATAGCAAGTTGAGCTTAATAACAGAATTACAAGATTCTGCTCCTTCTACGCTTTTTGCCCCTTTCATGGAAAGATTAGTAGATCATGTTAGAGTACAACTTACTAAGAACATTTGTTCTCAATGCAGGATTGATTTAAAGGGCTTGGTTTCTATTTTACACATGAAAGACTCAGAAGAATGCGAAAAGTTCTTAACACAGCACGGTTGGACTAATTTTCAGGAGTACGTAGTTGTTCCTTTAGAAAATCAGTCTGCTCCCATTTCTCCATCTGTAAGAAAACTAGATGTTGTAATTAATTCAGCGATGCGCTTTAACTCGTTACTTTAAAGCAATGTGAATGTTAGAAATTGAATAAATAATTAGATATTATTATTGAATTTTAATTTTTTTAAATTATTTTGAATAGTAATCAGAAATACCAATAGTAACCGACAACAGAGCATATGCCTCTCTTGTTTGACAAGCTCTCACAACTGCAGAATGGTTGCGGAACATCATGCCATTCTAAGGGATATGGAAAGGCAATATCCCAAAAATGACACATAGCGACCGACAACAGAGCATATACCTCTCTTGCTTATTTGGCTGCTCTCAGAATGTGTTTTTATATAAAATAGCTCAAAATTTAGTTATTTGCACTGTTATATCTGTTATGTTTCACCATGCTGATTATCTATATAATTATAGCAAATCGAAAAAGCTTAATGAAGATATGATTTATAAGAAAAAAGCTGAATTTAGGAGGGTATTTGCTGTATATCGATATTTCATAGATATAGTATAAAGAATTATATCGCTTGAATTATAACCATTATGGCCGAATCATCTGAAGTTAACAAAAAATGTTCGTTAAAGCTGGGAAACTATCAAACCTGAATATTAACGATCTTCTCAAATAAAATTCTCAAGAAAATTGGTAAACCTTATGACCTTTCGAAGAACTGATACAATGTGCCTTGGAATGCCATTAAAAATGGTTTTCTGTAATGTGCATCCACTTAATATCGAAATATATTCTGCCAAAATTTCTTTTATGGTCGTTGAATTCATATTTGCGTAATTCAGTTTTAATTTCAATGAAAAAATAAATTCATATTGCATGATAGGCATCATATAGTGTGCCTTTTTAGATATGATATACAGTCCTTAAGATATGAAGGAATGAAATTTGATCTTTATTAATTAATGAATATTTTTTATTTGGAATATAAAATATAGAATATATTACACTGATTTCAAGGCAAATACTGAATTTTAAGGATCAAAAATGTTGTTGAGTTCTGTCATTTTAATTAGTGTGACAAAAAGTGAATTGTTTTTGGTATATTTCATATCAACAACTATCAACTATGTGTATTATGCATTATTTAATAAAATTTAGGTATAATGTATTTGACAGATTTACGAATTGTCTGAATTCCAAACCATAAATTATATAAAATCTATTCTAATAAACTTATATTTAATTTTGTAATCAAAGTATAGTCGCTGCAAATTCAATGGAGTAAATAAAAAAATGATAGTTGAGTGCATTTTGAAGATAAATTTAATACTTTTTTAAAGCACTCTTTAATTAAATGATGGTGTATTTTTATCAATCCTGCGTAAAAGTGACACAGATTTTCGATGTCGCGCTGGCAAACTGGTTTTATGGACTATAAGGAGATCTTTTATGTTCCTCCTTCAGAAGATAAGCCTATATACACTGTAATAGGTACTATCTTTTTCGTTATTGCTGCGTGCTCTTTCATTCCAGAAACAATGGAGATGATTCAACAAAGAACCAGTTATGGTTTATCATTCTTCTTTGTCTGGGGTAATAGCTGGGGTCAATTCCTTCTCGTTGTTAACTTCCTTTGCCTTAACTACACAGAATTCTTAGGTTTCCTCGGATATTCATTCAAGATTACGTATCCATTCCTTTTGGTCTTCTTTGAGTTATTCTGTCAATGGATTTTGTTCTTACCATGCCCATATCTCACATTTATCTATGCAGATCGTGAACATACAGCCGAAAAGACAGAAAAACAGCAATTGCTCGGAAAAATCCATTGCATTGGCCTTGTTATCCTCAACATTCTTGCTTCCGTTGTTTTATTGGTTATTTGGATTGCCGGCGGCATGCATTTCGGCTTCACATCCAAATTCATGACAGCATTCGGTGATGTATGCGGTTATATCTCTCTTGTTCTCGAAATTTTCCAGTATTTGCCACAATACATCGAAACAATCAAGATTCGTGACAATGGTTCATTATCCCTTGTCATGCTTAGTATCCAAGGTCCAGCTAACTTAGTTAACGGTCTTTATATGGCCGTTATTAGACATGAATCACCAAGTACATACTTAACAATTATATTCGATGGTGCTGCAGAAATGGGTCTTCTTCTCTTGTGCTTATTCTTCAAGATCTACAGATATGTTAAGGAAGAGCCCGTTGACTACGGTCACCTTTCATCTATCCTTCTTACACCAATCGAAGCCCTTACAACTACAAAGGATAGAAAGAAGAAAGATGAAGATCAGGCTGGTGAAGTCAAGTCTCATCAAGTATAGATAGATAATATTAATATCTAGTACTTTTTTCATTTGGAATTTTATATAAATTGAGTTGAAGTCTATATTTTTAATTTTTAATGCTTTTTGACCATTTTTTAACATACGCTATCCTCATAAAACCAAAGAAACAGTTCCGATCATTTTGAGATTTTAGACATCTAATCAAAGTTATATATTTAGTATCAGCATCATCTACTCTCTTATATATTCGATTTCGTTTTGAATTTCGAGCATCTAAAAATTGGCAAAGTTTTCATTTATCCAAGAAAAATCATTTTAATACTGCATATCGAGTTAAATTTATTTGTCATTGAATTATTTTCGCATTTTAATGTGTTTCTTTGTGGAATTTTGGATCAATAAAACAAATCCGTGATTAAAAGCAATGACAATGCTAAATATTGATTACACACATGATGTCAATTATAATTATCCATTTATGGGCTAAAATTTTTCAATTCAGGCTTAATCAATTGATATTTCAGGGAATTTAGATGCTAAATTTCTTCACAATCATAATAACTCCCATATCATTACATTTAACCTAAAAATGATTTCATTCAAAGGAATTCGTTTTTTATATGAGTGAGAAGCCGAAACCTACATTATTAAAGTATGATGTTCCAGTTCTGGATGGTGGTGAGGATTGGAGAGCCAGAGCTGCCAATGTTGGCGCAAAAATACCAGGTGAAACACAAGAATTAACAAGAGATGTGTTAAATAAAATATTACCTCCTAGAGAATTCAAAAGTAATGGCCAAGATTTAATTCAATATGTTAGTACTACACCTTCTACACGCAGCGATGTTATTAAATTACAACAGCAATTAGACGCTGAATTGCAAAAGCAGAAAGCACGTGAAACAGGTATATGTCCAATCAGATCAGAGCTTTACAGACAATGCTTTGATGAAATTATTAGAGAAGTTACAATTGATTGCAGTGCAAGAGGTTTATTATTAGTTAAGGTTCGAGATGAAATGAGAACAACAATTAGCGCATATCAAGCATTATACGAATCTGCTATTACTTGGGGAATGAGAAAATCAATGGAAATAGAACAGAACAAAGATGACGTTCTAACCCAAAATGCAAGACTAAAGGATGAAATTGCAGCATTACAACAGAAAAATAAAGAGTTAGAAAACAAAATAGCAAATATTGAGAAACAAGATGAAGAATACAGAAAAGAAAAAGAAAAAGCACATGCTGATGAAACGGCCCTTCTTAAGAGACAAACTGCACAGCTTAAATCTCATATAGAGCAAATGTTAACATCAAAGTAAAAAAATTTTGTTTTGAGATCATTAATTTTCAATTACTTTTTATTTGCATATTTCATATAAAGTCTTCTTGTTGCTATTTGAGAAATCTTAGATTCCAAAATTACTAAATTAAACAAAATTTCAACTTGGTGACGTAAAAAGCATGTATTTTATGTAAACATATCATTGTATCTGTATTCCATTGATAATTATGATTTAAATTAGATGATTGATACAAAATTTAGGCTACTTGAGCAAATCAATAATCTGAATATGGAAATTATTTGATGTAATGTTTAGTGAATAACTTTATTTGGCATAGTTGTGTAACAAATATTACAATCTTATGTGATTATCTTAATAAAAATATAAAATGATATGATGATTTTAAAATAAATCCAAAAAAAAAAGGAAATTTTATTGTCTGTTAGTTCTAATGTTTCTAATAGCGACAGCAGCAGCCATTTGGAGTTCCTCATCCTGGCTATCAACCATCTTTAACAAGTAATCAACGACACCAGCCTGTGAAAGTCTCTTTGAGTTCTCCTGATCTTCAGAAAGAGCTTTAAGAGCTTTAGCTGTTGCAGCGTGTACTTCAAGGTTTGATGAAGGTGGTCTAAGGTATGAAACTAAAGGATCGACGGCACCTTCTTCGCCAAATCTACGTCTGTTCTTTCCGTAATTAGCAGCAAATCCAATAGCGTCAGCAAGTGGTTTGCGAACTACGTCAAGTTTGGTAGATAACAAGCGGGAAAGAAGTTCTACAACACCTAAATCTGTCATAACGCCGAGGTTTTCGTTATCCTTTGCAACTTCACTGATTGCCATGCAAGCGCTTGCTTGTACTTCTGGTTCCTGGCTCTTGAGGAGTCCAACTAATAAATCTAAGCCATCAACGAATGTTCTGACGTATGATGGAGATTCTGGAGATTTAAGGAATGGAACTAAAGCACGAGTAGCAGCTGCTTGGACACCTGGTGATGGGGACTTCATCAATGACCAAAGTTTTCGGACGCCATTCTGCTGGATAAGGTTCTTAAGATTTGTTGGATTATTGCAGCAAGCTCCGATAGCTTTGGAAGCGTAGATAACGAAGTCAGAGTCTGTAGAGTTAAGATATTCGAGTAATGAAGGAATCATGTTCTGACGAACTGTCCATTGTAAGCATTGTTGGTTTTGTGTAAGGATACCGATAACTTTGAGTGCACCCTTGCAAATCTCTGGTTGAGGTGATTTCCATAATGTTGCAAGTTTGTTGAGAACGCCAAGCTTGCAAAGTTCATCTCTGATCATTGCGACGTTTCCAATGACGGAAATGGTTTCAAGGGCAGATAAGATGACCTTCTCGTTTGTATTATCGAGAAGACGTGTCATCTTCTGTGGTCCTTGGCACTGATCTTGGTTATTCTGGCAGAATTGCTTAGTTTGCTCTTCATTCATCTGGAAAATAGTGAATGCGCGAACTGACCATTCGCAAAGCTCTGCATTTTCTTTGCCAAGACCTGTGCAGAAGAAAGTAATTTGGCGATCTGTAATCTGGCGGTCTTCATTCTTTCCGTAGACGGCCATACTGTACATAAGACGTGTAATGTTAAGCATAAGGTCCTCGCTGATGCTGGCAAGTGCCTTCTTTGTTGTATATGTATCAAGAACATTCGAAAGGTGGCAGTTAGCCATGATTCTTGCAGCTTCATGGCTTCTATTTAAGCTGTAGAGAACATAGCATACCTGTGAAGCGTACTCTGGCTTCTTGATTGGTACAATGAAGGCATCAACACCTTGATCTTTCTTGTTACGAAGGATAATGTGACGGAATTTTGTGTTGTGGCAGCAGTTTGCGATTGTTGTGAAGAGATCGTTCATTACACGTGGTTCATCTCTCTTTAAAATGTCCATGAAAATCTTAACAGTATCTTCATTGGCCAAATGACGACGAATCATTGGTGAAAGAGAAATAGCTGCGAAAATCTTGATAGCAGCTTCGATTTGAGCACTACGACGTGTATCATTTCCTTCACGAATTTGTTTCATGCAAAGAACATCACGCATAGCTGAAATAGCACCTGCCATGAGAACAGCACGTTGACCAGCTTGTTCTTTAAGGGCTGGGTTATTGCAGAGGTCTTGAAGATCTGTATTTGTTGGATCAGCTGTATTTGCGGTGAAATTCTTCATCTTTGGATAGATTGTAGAATATTCATCTGAGTTTGTCTGCTTAGGGAATGGAACAATTGGCTCATCATCTTCTTGTTCCTGTTCTTCGTCTCCTTCCTCATCATTTTCATCTTCTGGCTGTGTGAGGACAAGAACTGGTGTTGGAAGTGTATCCAAATCGTTATGAACTTCTTGAGCTTTGAATTTTGCAGCATTTTCTGCTTCCTCCTTTGTGATTGTTGGAGCTTTTTCTTTGAAAATTTCGGAAATTCCACTAAGAAGCTCTGTAAGTGTATTTGCAGGAGATCCTTGTGGTGTATAATCTAATTCTTCTTCACCATCAGCGTTGACGATGTAGCCTTTGATTTGAACGCATGTTTCATCATTCTTGCAAAGAATAGCAACAACACCCTTATCGTGAGTGCTTGCAAGGATGTAACCGATATCACCTTCGCTCTGACGCCACGGAGGAGCACGAATTCCGCTAGAAGTCTTGTATTCGGACTCCCAACGGATCCAATTTAATGGATAAATGGCTTTATCAATGCCACTGATATCCTTGAGTTGCAATAATTCTGTTTCAAATTTCTCCATTATGTTATTAACGTATTTTTTTCTCACTAACAAATACTTTTTTTTTCAAAAAGCATCATTTCATTTGGGATATAAGTTGCTATCATTAAGAAATTCAATTAACTCCGTATAATATAGCTGAAATGGGCAAGATCAAAAATATTGAATTTGAAATTGAGCAAAAATAATTATGTTGAAGATTCATTCCATTCAAATGGATCGAATTCGTTTGCGATATTCAGTATTTTGATACCAAACGCAAAAAAATTATTCGATTTTTTCATTTCAAATAGGGTGGAAAAAGATTCGAGTATAGAAAAAGATCCTTTAAAATACATAATGATAGATATTCAATAATATGTAAGCAATTAAGTTACGAAAAAAATTAATCTAATTTTGACCAAATTAATAGTGTAAATGGCGCTAAATGTCATTGCTTCCTCTGATACAGACTTTACAAACCGAATAAAATTCTATTGTTCCGTTTTTCCGGATTGAGCTTGATTCATTGAAACATCAGCTAAATGAATAGCATCTGACTCAATTGTATCTTGATTATGATGGAAAACAAACCAACTCTTCTTAGAAGAAACAATAATTTTAGGTAAGGGAGCTAATTCTTGATTTTGGAGATCAAATTGTTTATCGAAGAAATCCTTTCCACCCTTGATGTCAACATTAAAATGTAAGCTGCTTTCTAATACTGAGCTTGTAAGTGGTAAATCGAATGTTTTTGCGCCAGTGCGTACTAAATTTGATAAATCGAATTTGCCGGTTGCTATCTCTTCCTTTCCACTTCCTTTAACTGTATGAGTATATACATAAACGTCAATAATTGATGATGTTAAATGGCCCAAAGTATCTTTTGTAATTGGACGTGTAAGTTCTATAACTTTTGACCATTGGACAATAAAATTATCTACTGGTGTTGGATCTGTTGCAAAATTGTTCATTGAAAAATGCATTTTGATTGAGAGAGTTTTATGGCAGAAAGGAACATTATCTAACGTCAATTGTGAGAAGGTGAATGTGATCTGTTCAGTCACTGACTTTAATGATTTCTTCTCTTTCGACATTATCTAAATTTTTTTAAAAAATTTATTTGATTGGTGCGTCACGCCAATAAATGATTTCTTCTCTTCGACATTCTCTTTACAAAAACAGCCAGAATAAGTGGCAATGCATTAATTTATGGATTTCAATTGGAAAAATAACTGCAGGGATCTCTAAAATCCAAGAAAATTGGAATCTTCCAAATTGAAAGCCCAAAAATAAATATATAATAATGAAAACAGATCATTCTTCGATTTTTACAGTCTTTGCGCCAATATATGTTGAAGAGGTAATATATTTTCTATAATATGTGAAGAAAATTCAATTTTATTCATGAAATTATGCAAATTAATAGAGAATATTAAGTTTTTAAGCTGCAATTCACAGTAAAATCATATAGTCATCAATATCAAAAAGGGAATATTAAAACTTATTGTTTAGAAATATATTTCTAATGATAAAACCGAATATTTACAACTTTGTAAGCTGTATAACATTATGACTTGGTGGTGAAGGATTAATCGAAAGTAAATCGTTCATAATATGGTCTAAAGAGCTGATTTCAATGCGGACGTTGCGAATCATACGTGCCTGCTTTTCTACTTTAATTGGAGTCAAAGGCTTCATCATGAAGCTACTCTGGCAAAGGAATGCGCTAACAACGTTTCCTGTGATTTGTGAGAAGGCATCATCTGAGATCCAGTTTCCATTGGAATCAAGAGATGACATATCATCGAAGATTGCAGCGTATTCTTTAATCATAAGTAAAACGACATCCTTATTAAGCAAAAATGTTGCGTTGGAAGCATCATCAACAAGATTTGGAGCCATAACGATAGAAAGATTTAATGCGGTCATCTTATTTTTGTCGGAGTGCTTTGCAACCATGCATAAAAATCCAAAAAGACGAGAAATAACAGCTCTGTTAATTACAGGAAGAGTTCTGATAATATCTTTAACTTGTGTTGGTGTAGTGCATTTCTGAAATGCTTGAGCGTTGCTATCAATGAAAAGATGACCTGGAATATCTCTCAAAAATCTGTTAATAATAACGCATACATTGTATGGATTTGTATTTTTGTTAGCTTGAAGCTGATTTAAGATATCGATTTTGCTGATCATTGCTTTGATTTCGGTATCATTTCCCGCCATACGGAACAAACCTTCTTGATCGAGATGATCCTTGATGATAAACTCGAAAGCTTCTTCTAGGAATTTCGGTACGGCACGCTGATAGGTAAGAGCTAATGATACTAATGACTGTCCCCAAACAGGCATTTATTTATGAAATTTGACATGTAAATTGTAAATTTACAAATTATATCAAAAATCAATCACTCACTCTTCAACAATAAATCTCACTGTTTCACACTATCATAAACTAACTAATATGGCCATAAAATCAGAAGAACAGACATTTGATGCACTATTATTATAGAATTAGCAGAATGTTAATAAATAATATCTTCTAAAAGCCAAAAATCGAAAGATTATGCATCCTTACATTCCACACACATGATATAACATTGTTGTTTTTCGATAAATATCGTAAGGAGTTATGAGTTAAGAATAAGGTTCTATTTTTTTACAAAAGTTTACATAACTATCACTTTTCATGACAGCAGTCCTCAAATTAAACACAGTTGCAAGAGATGTCACAAGAAATCCACCTCCATCACGTATGGAAAGAGCTGGTTTGTTCATTGTTAATGATTACAATGGTACAAAATATGATCTTGGTGATGGACCCGATAATGATGCTTACAATATGGCCAAAATCGTCGGCCAATTCGGATTCAAGAACTGGTACTTAAGAAACGGAACTAAGCGCCAGTTTCTTGAGCAATTAGACTACTTCTTCGAAAACACAACAGTACATCTTGTTCTCTTCTATGTTGGACATGGAACAAATGTCAAAGACATTGAAGGTGATGAAGCTGATGGCTATGATGAAGCATTCTTCTTCAAAGATGGCGTTATGGTCGATGATATTTTGATATCTCATCTTATTGACCATAAGAATCCAACAAGCAAGCTTACTCTTCTTACCGATGCTTGCCACTCAGGATCCGTTTGGGATATCCAGGGTGGTAACTTCAAAGGACGTAGACTTCCAGAAAATATCATTTCGATTTCTGCTGCTAGCGATCAGCAAACAGCTAAACAGACTGTCGTTGAGAACAGTGAACAAGGTATGTTCTCTTACAACTTCAGAAAACTTCTTCGTCAAAATCGCGATATGACTCCACGTCAATTAAAGACTGGTTTACGTACCATTCTTGCCAAATACCAGCAAACTGTTAATATTGCTACAACATCTGGCGAGTTAGTCGATTCTCCGTTAATGGAACCATAAAACTTCAAATGAAGTAGAATCTGATAATACTTAACAGCGAATTTCTTTTTAACTCCTAAATGTCTTTTCTAAAACTTACATTAAATTAATCTTTTTCAAATGATTTTTAATCGATATTACTTTGAATCAATTTAGTGATGTTTCTATATGAAATTTGCATGCCTCTAATCGAATTGCAGGCTTTATAATTTTCCAAACTTTTTTACTTTTCTTTTTTTGAGGTGAAAAAATACATTTTTTTCGATATTTTCAATGATTTCTGGTATTTTTGGATTTTTTAAAGAGAGACTTATAACATACAATTCGGCAAAATATCAATATTTTTAATAATATTTATAATTATCTAATGTAATTATAAAAACATTATAATTTTTAGGATTATATTCTTTAAATTGGAATTTTAATCAATCGTTCAACTATCATACTTACTTCGATTTAGTAAAAACTTACATATAATGTTTCAACAATAATGATGCTCTGTGAATTTCAAATTATTTTTTGAATATTAGTTAAAAAATTCTGCATAAGTTATGCATTAACATCACAAACAATAGGGGGCGATTTTATATTAGAACATATTGGAAATTAAATGATAATTACAAATAATTATTTACTATTAAAAAAGAAACAACAATAACTCGAGTAAATAGAACATGAATAAAGACTCTAGTACTAAACATTTAAAATTAAATGTCGATATACTTCTATAATTCCGAAACAGAATCCAAATTTGCAAATGGCTATGAATTTGAATCTTATTGTGCTGCTTTGATTGCATTACGAATGCTTTCTATGTTGCAACCGTTTATTGAATCTAATGTAGAATAGCCATCATCTTCTGATTTATTGATAATGACATGCGGAATTGTTTTGATAAAAAATGAGTTCGCTGATTGCTGGTTGTTATCTATATCGATTTTGATGAATGTTGCATTAGGGAAATCGACCATCAATTCTGGTAATGCCGCTAAAAGACGAGTGCAATGAATACACCACGTAGAATAGAAAATGAGAACTACTATGCCTTCATTTTCTTTGATTTGCTGGATTAGTTTCACATGAGGCCCATCAAATTGAATCAATTTGTCACTCATTATTTGATTATAAATTTTTTTTATTTATTTCTGTAATTAAATACCCACCATTACACATATTATTCAAAAGAAAAAATTGATTCACGATTATTTTGCCTTCAAAAAGAGAATCACCCTCTGACAGTCAAAAGGTATTGGAATGTGAGTGGAGGCTTAAATATAAATTGAAGGTGATGAGAGACATCCATTTGGCTATGTAAGTGTTTCGCGAAGTATTTTAAATCTTATTTTAATATTTTATCACTCTTAGAAGTTTCATGAGTGTCAATTTTATGCATTATTTCCTTAATAAATGAGTATGCTTTGTTTATTTTAGCATGCCTTTATGTATCCGCCAAATAAAAACTAATGAGTAAACAAATTAAAATTTTGGAGCTAAAGAGAGCAAACATTTTATACTTTTACTGTAGACAAATATATCAAATTGATAATTGATAAAAAAATAAGCCGAATTTTCATGATTAGGTTAGGAATGTTCTTAAAGAATCTAAATTGCCTAATTTTGTAGTTTATATTCTACTAGGAACATTATAGTAAATCATGAAAAGGATAAAAAGAGCTACGATACCTAAAAGAAGAAATTCGTAATTATCGTTAGATAAAAATTCTCCTTTCATATTGCGTAATATTGCTGTTTTCGTTTTAACTTCTAAGATTTTGAATTGGTTGATTTCAACGTCCGTCAATTCCTCATCCTTCATTTTTTTATAAATGTCACTTTTATTCATAACTTTCAGTCAGAAAATTATATGCACCAGTATTCAATTAAACACAAACTTTATTAAAATATTTTATCTTGAGAGTAATGCAGCATAAAGTCTTAAAATTACATCACAATAAGCGAATTTTATGTTTTCATTTTTTTTTATAATAACTTCTATTAAATATTTCATATTTCGTTAATCTGAACGAACGAATGACTATTTCCCTGCATGCTCTGGAATGTGAACTCAATAATAATAATATTTCATTCGATAATGTTTAAACACTCAAGGATTATTAGTATTTTGTGATGCTATTCGCATTGATGATCAATGTTCCTGCGATATTGATTCATGATCCAAAATTCTATGTGAATTTCCACCATTTCAACTGAACTTGGAGCGATATCTCAATGCTAGTTCGAGTATTATGTGCTAAAGCTAATTATAGATGAAATTCTTCAAAATATGAAACAATAGCACTGGGGAGTTGTAAATGGGATTTTTAAATTATAAATTGTCACTTTTTAGTATTAAATGTCTGACGACAAAGCGGAATTCAGAAATTACTTAGAGCAATCCGGTGTTGTCGATTCAATTAATAAAGTATTAATCAATTTATTCGACGAGGTTGACTTACCAAATGATCCAATGGAATATATCAAACAATATTTAGGGTGTCCAAAAGGAGTAGATGCCGCCGCTATCGCCGCAGAAAATGCCCGCCTAGAAGAAGAAATTAAGAATTTAGAGGAACAGCTCAAAAAGAAGAAATAAGAAATCAGAATATGTTATTGCAAATATTTATTCTAAACCATTTACGATATTACTATATTTCAGTTAAATATACCTTATTGTTTTTAATTTAATACAAATTCAAGTCAAAAAATCAAGACAAACTTTAATTTACAAAAATAGAAATCATATTAAGATATTAATATCTACGTTGCCTTGATTTTTTTGAAATATTCTTATACGTTGAGTTATTCTATATATTTTTTGATAACGGAAAATGTTTTTTCTTTCATCTCTTTTAATAACTAGACAAATCTAAGATTTGAGTTGAGGTTTGAAGTATCGACTTCTCGAAGCCTCATGCTTTTTTCAGAATTAGAGCCGTTTGCTTGATTTCTAATTAATGTATCCCATCTCAAGTAATTCAAGATTCGACACGCGATCTTTTGATTTAGATACCTGTTTCCATATGTATGTGGAGCTTATCAATCCATATATTATGATAGGAATCCTAATTTTTGGTCTTTTCATCAAAACATTTTGGAATTCGGCGAGATTTTAATTTTGTAATATTACAAACCTTTCTATCAATCAAAGTGAGTGTTTTTTCCAATTATCTTAATTTTTGTCACTTTTTATATAAATAATGAGTTACAAAGAAATCGGTAATACTGGAATTAGACAACTTGACAATTCATATGAGGTGTCACTGTGGCTTAAGAGAACCATGAAACTTTTAGAAAAAGCTGAAGATAAAAATAATATTCCTCTCAGTAGAAGAAGCTCATATGCATACTCAGTTGCCTCCTCAAACGCTTTAATGAGTAGTGATGATGAATATCCATCAGATGATGATGAAATTATTAAATTAGGAACTTCAACTGATAATAAACGTTTCAAACAAATCACAAATAACTTTAGAAGTAACTCTCTTTTAACTAGCTATCGCTTTAAATGGCAATTGTTCGCAAATCAGCTGAAATTACGCGGTTACCAGAACGAAGTTGATTTAGAAGCGTTCCAGAATTCAAACAACACAGGAGGTTTCCACACCCCACACGTACCTCAAGTGAAGCGCGTGTTTACCAGCTACTACTTCACTTGGAAATTGTTTTCAAGGAAATTAATTGAAAATACATGGAAGAAAGAAGTTAAAGAGGTTGCAAAGAATCCAAAAAGACTTAGCTACGGTTAATGTTATTTAATTAAATGTACGATTATTGTTTTTCGTTGTTTTAATTCGGGATTTGATTTTTTTTTTCAGATAAAAAATTTACATATGTTTCAAGTATCCACTGATTGAGTAATATTTCCTCCTGCAACAAACTGCTTTTGACAGTGTTTTGATCAAATAAGCAATTAATAACTATTTGCTTGCATGATTATATTACATGCATCACAAGCCATCATATACTTCAATTCAATAATGTAGCTCATATCCTTGATGCTAAACTGAAAATTGCAAAATTGATCTTTTGATTGAAAAAAAAATTACCAAATGGATTTTTATCCAAAAATACTCACCTGAAATTCATTCAATATGTCACTTTACATAAAATCGCAAAATTCCGACTATTTTTTTTAAAATTTTAAAATAATTTTATCGTAAACTAATCAAATCATTTTCATGAATATTCTCCATTATAACGATTTTATTGATTGTTTCAAAGATTATGATGATATTACGTCTAGGTTGTATAGACTGCATATAACAAATGAAGACGAAATCGATGCTTTTTGTGAAGAAATTAAAAACAAATTAATGAATAACTCGGGTGAATATTTAATGGATCACTTAAAGGAAATGATTTCAAACGCAGAAAAACAAAACAATGGGTACTGGCCATCTTATTTGATCTTAAAGCAAAAGCTGTTCAAAGAATCTTTTCCTGATGATATTTCATCCTACTACACTAAATTTTTGCAAACAATTATTGATGATGATGTGAGTTTGTTTATTCCATTCACAGAACAAGAAAATTTTAATTATCTCAAACTTGCCAACTTTGATTTCATTCCGTGTGTGAGAGAACAATTATATATACTTGAATTATGTTGTTATTACGGCTCTGTCAATTGTTTCAAGTTTTTGAGAACAAAATTCTCTGCAAAAATCACAAAAAATTGTCTTCTTCTTTCATTTTTAGGAGGAAATCCAGAGATTATGAGTGCGTGTTTGAAAGATCAAAAACCAGATGATGAATGCATGAAGTATGCAATCATGTCTCACAGCATCGATTTTGTTACATTCTTGATGAACGAACATAAAATTCCAATCGACGTCGAAGAATGCATAAAATACAATAATATAGGGTGTCCAAAGGTGTGTTTAGCACAAACCTGAATACTGCGAATAGAAATAAACAAGTTACATATATATAAAGTTTATTTAAATATAATCACCATTGGATTCAATCACGCGTTCGCAGCGATCGATCCAGGCTTGAAAGACACGCTTTAAATCATCATGAGAAAATTGCTCAAATTGCTCTCTTACAAAATTTTCAAGATCATCTGGACTCGCGAATTCGCGTCCTTCAGCTCTCTTTTTTAGCGTGCCGAATAAATAAAAGTCAGAGGGTGCAATATCAGGTGAATAAATTGGGTTTGGAACAACTTTGACATTGTTTTCCAACAAGTAATTCATTACCTTATGACTTTTGTGAACTCTTGAATTATCAAAATGAATTGCAAACTTTTGTTTTTGTTGTTTGGATTTCTCAAACTCATCAGAATTGATAATTTGAGTAAGAACATTGTCAATTAGATACTGAGCATTCATCGTATTAGGTTTTTGAAGAATATCAATTGCGATGATGCCATTCACGCCCCAAAAAACCGACAACATCATCATTGGTGTGTCAATTTTTTTCTTCGGGAATGTTTGCGGATTTTCATCCTTCGGGATCCACATGATTTTGGCTTCTGTTGCATATTGAAACCAAGACTCGTCCCCTGTTACTAAAAAGCGAAACTTCTTGGATTGATACGCACCCAATATAGAGAGGAGCTCTTTCGAAGATTGGACTCTAGATTTTTTTTGAACTGAATTAAGGTTGTGCGGAACCCAACGTGTATACGCTAGTTTGTAGTTCAAATAATTGTGCAGATAATAACTGACTGTTGTACGTGGTATCTTTGTCATCTCCTCTATCCTTCTGAGTGATGCTCTTGGGTCTTCATCTAGCGCTTGAAGAATTGCTTTGATTTTTCTTTGATCCGGCGATTTTTTGTCAATTTTTATGATGGGCGCCTTTTTGTTCATGAAGTGATACATCCTAACATGATACGTTACAGTGGAATAGCTAGGAGCATCCATACCGAAGCATTTTACCAATGTCTCGTAGATTTTTTTACAGTCTTTGCATTTTTTTGCAAGAGCGAGGATGTTTTCTTTATGATTCATTAAAAAAATGAAAAAAATCCCGCCAAAATTTCCCGCGAAACCGCCTCTTGTCTCAAAATTCATTTTATATCCCGGCATGGCGCCAAAATACAACATACTCATCATATACATCTATTCATATTTTTTATTATATATTTATAATCAGCATATATCTCCTTTAATAGTCTCATATAGAGCGCTGTGCTAAACGCACCTTTGGACACCCTATATACCAGCGCTTTTTATTTATTATGATGGAAAAAATAAGATCAAGGAATTCGTTGAAAAAATATGCTATTTCCCAACTGTTTTGGAAAAAGTTCTTTCTATATTGCCAAAATTCATTGATAACAAATCACAAGCACTTGTAAGGGCTGCTCAAAAAATTGCAGCCCAAAGATATTATCACATCGATAATGGCGATGGAAATGAGAAAGATGAATACGGAAAAATTCTTCTTCATTATACTGCAGAATGTTTTCACCGTGTAAGCTTCTTTTGTCCAATGGGTTACGATAATATTCTTAAAAATGCCATAGACAACGAAGGAAAAACTGCTTTACATTATGCAGTTTTAAATAATAATGCTAAAATTGCAATTAGTCTGATCCTGTCTGGCCTCTGCGATGCTTTTGTTCTTGACAAGGAAGGAAAAACCGCTCTTCACTATGCAGTTATAAATGATAAAACCGAAGCTTTAGATAAACTGATCGAGTATCGCCTCTGCGATGTTAATATTCCTGACAAGGAAGGAAAAACCGCTCTACACTATGCAGTTATAAATGAAAATGTCATGGTTGTAATATCTCTGACCACCTATGGCCACTGCGATGTTAATGTTCCTGACAAGGAAGGAAAAACCGCTCTACAATATGCAGTTATAAATAATATAACCGACATTGCAAGACTATTAGCCAAGGAAGACAACATTGATGTAAATGCAACTGATAATGATGGGAAAACTGCTCTACACTATGCAGTTATTAATGAACAAGTTTCCCTCATAAAGCTCTTGAAAGGTTCAAATGGCAGTTGTGTCAATGTTGCTGACAATGATGGAAAACTCCCCCTTCACTATGCAGTAATAAGTAATAATATTAAAATTGCTAAAAAGCTCCAAAAAATCACTAATGATATAAGAAAACGAGATAACAATTCGAAGTTTCCTCTTCAATACGCAGTAAACAATTATGCAATGTTCATTACACTAATTACGCCTAGATATACAAATAATAATGCATATGATTTAGAGGATGCTCTGGAATGCTTTGAAGAGGCTAAGAAGAGCATAAAAAGTGATATTGCTGCGTGGGAGGGTGGTATGTGGACACCTGGAGATGACTAAACATCTTTTCATGTTATAGGATGTCCCAGAACCCGTGAGCATCTCGAGAGTAAATTGATATTTTTATATTATAATAAGTAAGCAATGTAACTCATAATAATATAGCATTTAAATAAACATATTATATATAGCACTTATTTAGCTCATTTCAATATGGAGATGTTCACGGGTTCTGGGACACCCCATATTTAAATATAACATATCATTTAAATAAACATATTATATTTAAAATATTTATCATAAAATTAAATTGCCAGAAGCTAAAATAATTAGTTCCCAGAGTTCACAATCATAATTCAGAATATGCTTAGAAATAATTCAGATGAACTAGAAGTTAGTATACAAGTCTCGTGTATGGAGGCACTGCGTTCCTCCGTACGCAATACTTGTGAATTTGACACTTTACAAAACCGTTAACGTATATTTTACAACACAAACGACAACACTAACTTAACCTTAAATATTTACAAAGCCGCCAACCACTTCACCTCACTACTGTAAAAAAATAAACGTTCTCACTTACAAAAGTATTGCAACTCCTCCCATTGCTGTGCTTCACATAACAGTTCATATTCTTCTGACTCACTTTCTTCTTCATATAGGTCAAAGTCACTGTCAAAATAAATGTTAGTAAGTTTTGACAAAGCTAATGAAACACGCTTACCGTTTGTATCATATGCTTGTATAAACTTTCCATTCTTCATTCCTTCATAAACGCTCAAACTAACTTTACCCTTTCTCCCTCGTATCTGATAGAATGTATTTTCACGAGGAACGAAGAACAAATTCTTGAACTCATGACCGTTGTAGTTTGTTATCTCAATAGTTTTCGTCATTTATATAAAAATAAAATAAAAAATAAACTTAAAAATAAAATAAAAAATTAATGATATCACCACCCTCACACGTATGAAAACATAGCGCAAAAATAAATTTAGGTGAAGTGGTGAGATCTCACCTGTTTTCTAACCTCTTTTTTCACCCGTTGAATTCATTACTTTATAACTCTCTTCCTTGGTTTCTTTTTAGTTGCTTTCTTCACGTCTGTCTCCAACTTGACTGTCTTTCTTCTTCGTCCGTAATGATACCAATTACTTCCACCAGTCAATGGGTCAAATGGTCTTTCGTAAGGGTTTCCATACATTCCATAGGGACCATACGGAAGAACTACTGGTGGAGGAAGAGTTCCATCGACTCTATTTAAATGCATTGTTTCACCTTTCATCTGGTCATTAAAGTCTTTTGCGTGTTTTGCAAACTCATCGTCCTTTCCTAAAGCATTTTCTGACTCAGTCGCAACCAAATTGGATGCTTTATTTATGAGCCCTATTTTATTTAATCTTAACTTCTTTGCAACCCAGCCTCCAATCTTCCCTTTATTTGCATCTAATGTCTTCGAAACCCTTCCTCCACTCATTTTATTTACTGCGTCATAAGCCCCAAGTGCTTTTGCTCCAAATGCTAATGCTTTTGTTCCCATTGCGCCTAAAGCTGTCCAAGCTACCATTTACACCATATTAAAATCATCTCTCTTCAATATTATCTCATAAAAGTTCTCGTTACTGGAGAAAGTCAATGAAACATAAACATTCTCATGGACTTCGTCCTCGCCGCGTTGCGGCTTCATAAACTTCTTTCTTATCTCATCTATACGCTTCAAAATGTCTGAACAATTGCTAACATCTTCTACAACAGTTATTTCATCATGAATGACCTTCAAGAACAAGCTCATTTAATATGCTATTAAAATCATCTCAATAATGAGTCCATCCTTTCCATCTTTAGGTAGCACAACATCTTTCATTGAAGAAGGTTCGACAAGTCTTATGTTAAACTTACTGACAAAGTTTGTTATACTATAATGCTTCGGCGGCGAATACATGTAGTTTGAAAGACATAATATAGATTCTTCAGCAAATTCACTTATACTGGATTTTATAACAATGTTCTCACGAGACCAAATACCACCAATTGACAATCTTGTAAGCAATCCTGCTGAACCTTCAACTGTAAACGTCGATGGTAACATTCCACGAAGGTCATCTATTGACATCTTTGAGTCACTGAATTTAAATATTTTCTTAAAGCAATCGTCATTATCTAACCATGCAATAGCTTTGAAGTTTTCATTCGAATATACATCTGCTTCATTAAATGTAAAACCTGACTTCTTTGCAGAGACGACTTTAAAATCTATTGCATTTGTTTCAAAATTATATACTATGGTAACTTCTGAAGGTAATGGATGTCCTTCCGCAGTCAGTTGTTCTCTCACTACCGTTTGAAGCTTTGTGTTAAAAACTTTCATGTCATCTCCTGTGTCTAGGTTCACATACACAGCAACAGGAAAACTATCTTGCTTCTTTGTTTCATCATTATACCTCAAAACATTAAAGTTCTTCAATAATATTGTTCTTCCTGCTGGAATACTTCGAACCTGTCTGATTTCAATAGCTTTCTCACCTCCTACATACTCTACCCAGTGCCTTGGATATTCATAAGTATACTGACTTTCTTGAATTTTGGTAGGTTTCATCATAACGTGTTCATAGTATATCTTTATACTCTTGTCAGTTAGACTCGGTGCTATGTTCTGAATATTTCTGACTTGCATTTTTAATGGAGATAAAATGAAGCATTTAATACATGACGTAGATGAAGACATGAATGAAACTACAGACAAACTTAACTCTTCTCTCATTCTTCCTTTCAGTAAGGACTATGAGTTCTGTTCAAATGGCGTTTATTTCTATTGTGGAAAGATGGGTTCAGGTAAGACATTTAATTTAATTCGTCATATACTCATAACAGAACGTTTAGGAAATGACTCATATTATGACCAAATCATTATATCAGCAACTTCAGACTCTATGGACTCAACAGCGAAAACATTTATGTCAAAAGTTCAAGCCTCTGTCGTTAAAGTTCCAGACAGTGAACTCATTGAATTTCTTCAACGTTACATTCGACGTAAGAGGAAATATTATGCCATCGTTGAATTTATACAGTCAGGAATGCAAAAGACTTCTGAGGAGATGGAAAGAATTATTGACACAAACACCACTTACGTCAGTACTCAGGAGTTTACGATATGAAACGACTGACAAACTACATTCTATCAAAACTTTCAAAATACCCCTTCAAAAAATATCCTTCAAACACTCTGCTCGTTTGCGACGACTTCGCTGGTAAAGGTTTAGTGTCAAAACCAGACTCACCATTAGCTAATATCATACTAAAGTCAGACATTACCACTTAACTGTAGCAATACTTATGCAAACATGGAGGTTTTTAGCTTTAAACATAAAACGTCTCATAACTGACTTCGTTATCTTTCAAGGTTTCTCACGTTATGATATTGAACTCATTTGGAAACAGTCAGGTATAACATTACCTTTTGAAGAAATTTGGGAAGCATATAAGTCTCTCATCTCTCCTCGTTCATACCTTGAGATTCATATCATGACTAATACCATTAAAGTCAAAAATATTCCATGGGAACGACCAACATTGTTTTAAAGTTTAACCTTCAATTGACTGATGGTAAACAAATTCCATGCATCTCTGTCGCCATTTCTGTTAATATTTTTGCTGTCATTCATATCATCCACTTCTCCATCCGTTAGCTTTTGAGGATATGTGTTAGAATAGCTGTTCTTAAATGAAGGCTTTTCACCTTTGAGAGCATAAACTCTATAACTTTCTGCATACTTTATGTTTGAACCTCCTGAGCCATCATTGACATAAATTTTTATAGGCTTCCACCCTTTGTTCATGTTCCTGCTTCTTCCCTTAGCTCTTTTGTTCAGTAGTTCTACATCTTTATACACAGCTCCTGTCTCAGTGAATTCAACAATATTTTCATTCGTTAGCTTTACATTCAAACCCTTGTCGAGTATATTGTTCATTTCATACATATAAAAGGTTTTTATTCTATATGAAATGAGAAGCAAATCCATCTTAGCTGGTGCCGTTAATGTTCCAATTGAACCAACATCAAATGTTGACTCACGAACGACAAACAATATTGTCATAAAGAACTATAGTTCAGAGTGTTTGAAAGAAAAAGAACCAGAACTGAAATCCGTGAATTTAAACTCAGCTTCAAACGCTAACGCTACATCAGATGTTAAGTTAGAGTATCCACCACTGGACCAAGTTCTTTCAAGAGAAGCCAACGACAACCCTTACACAAATGTTCAAACAAATCCTTCAGATAACGTAGACCATTACCTTCTTCAGTTATACCAAACAATTTTACTCAAAGACGATAAGAAGCTTTTGACAAATCTTATAAGCAAGAACCAAATAATTCTAACAAATTCAAAATCATTCAACATATTCAAATTTGTTGGGTTTTTGATTACTTTTGTTTTGCAAGGAAATGTTCTAATTCCTTCTATAGATTCCCAATCAATACACTGAAAGTAATCAAACAAACCAGCAATCAAAAATCTCGTTATCAACAAATTCCCGTACATTTCGTCATCGAACAAATTCAATAAAATCATCATCAACGCTACAATTTCGTCATCGAACAAAATACTCAAAAGAATTCTTTCTCTTCGTGAATGATAACTTGCTGTTTTAAGAGCTTTGAGGAACATGCTTTTGTTGATGAATTCACGATGTTTCTTCATACTAGAAAGAATTTTCGGCCAAAACTTTAATGAGTTGAAATAAGTTATTTGTGTAATTCTCATTAAAGTTGAAAACAAATTATTATATTGTTCAGAAGTAGTAGCAGTTCCTAAGAACTTGAAAAGACCAGAAATCTTTCTCATTGACAAGAAGTGAACTGGCAAACCGAAATAAGGAACAGCGACAAAATTCGGTGGCAAAACAATTCTCGGATCATTTGAAGAATTCGGTTCATTACTCGATGGATTACAAAAAGTATAAGGAGTAATGATGATTTCCATTCTAGTATTATCAATGTAATCAATGAATTCTGGTCCATGGCTGTATAAAACATCAGCAGGAACATAACGGTTTTTGTAAATTCTTATTGAACAACCAAGAAACATCAAACCACGACCAATCCATCCGAAACCTGCGAAAGAGAAAGGATTCTTTGTTCTCGCTGGAACACGTATTTCTATCATTTCATTTTGCATGCTTGATCTCAAGAAGAAATGGACAATCGATCCCAAAAATTTTTCTTGTAAAGAGATGTAAACAAAAGTCATTTTTCTACAATCAATGTCAAAGAAATATTTTTCATCATTCAAGTCAAAATTATTTTGATTTCTCAATGGAAATCAATATGAAATCAGTATGAAAGATATTAATAATATTGTCCTGTTCGTCAGAAACGCAGAACCAAAAAGAATAGCAGAAAAATTATCATTAATCTTGAATTCTTCTCTTCCTTGATAAAATTGAAATAATGGATAATGCATGTGTTTTTGATTACAAAACTTTTTCAGTTCAAATGGTCTTTGCATCAATAAATTGACGTGTTTCGTCTTGATGTAGCGATTACCAATATCAATGATAAAGGAATATCAAATATATCATATCCTTTCTTAAATACTGGCTAACAACACAGTTTCCAAGCATCCATGCATTGTAAGGATCAATGAAACTTGGTTTGTCAAGTAATGTAAATAATGAGGGAACACGAAATAGGTTGTACCTGGAAGTCTTCATTCCATAGACAATCTTGTCCAGCTGTTGCTTCCCGAGACTAAATATGGATGTTTGGGGTCTAAATCATCAATGAAGTCATCTAAATCGTCAAATCTTCGTAAAACAACTAATGATGACAGCATTTGAGAAATAATTCCATATCAGCGATTCCTTTTACGGCATATCCTCGAGCCATTCGATACCATCACATTTAACGAATGCTTCTGCGATTTCGACCGTTTTTACGAAACATGATAAAAATACATCACAAACTGGGTAGTTTTGAATCAGACATGTAGTTTAGGATTGGCTCAACAGTTCTTTCTGCAGGAACAGCGGTAATAAAGTCCGAAATGATCATAATAAAGATACTTTTTTGTTTATTGTAAGGACTTGTTTCTAATAAGGCTCTGACGATGTGGGATTGATGTATCTTTGATTTCTTGCGTTTGAATATCTCTAAAGTCATATCTATGAATGGTCTGTTTTCAATAATAATATTTGCTAAATTTTGATGGGGAAGATGTACAATAAATCCCATGAGAAATTCACTGTCGAAGGCAGGAAAATCGTCAATAGTAAAATTCGTAGTTTGCTTTAATTTGTCGAACAAATTCATCAATAAAATCGAAGCAAGCTTTCTGAGCTTTGGTTGTATCTTGTCTGTTTTGCCAAGTTGTGCGAAAACATTAATTGCTGGTGTTATTTCGCTGATAGTAAAGAATTCTGGTGAAATCAAATTTAAAATCTTGTTTGTCTGTTCAATTATGATTTCATTTGAATCAACTGTATATACTTTCGATAGATATGACGAAAATCCGTCAGATTTCAAAAAAGAATGAATGAAATCTGGATTTGAAAATAAATCTTTGAAATAGGTATGAAATTTTGGCAATATGTTTGAATTTTTCATCGAATATATGCAACTTGAAAGGAAAAGTTGAACAGAATCTGATCCTACTGGTGTAGATTGTGCAATTTTCCATAATATATTTAGAATATCAAGACTTTTTGATAATACTGCTTCATTGCCTGTTATCAGTGACATTCTAGAAAACAAGGATTGATAAATCTTTGAGATATTTTTTGACGCTCCTGAAAATAAATCTGGATTCGTCAAAAAAGTTTCGAGATTATCAAGATATTTCAGTAATAACTTCTCCTTAGCCTTTATTTCGGAGACAGAATTAACTGAATCTATAAAATTCGAAACTAATGTTAGAAATTCTGCAGAGGATGGACTTCTCTGGCATTTTTCCCTTTTTTTCGAATGGAGAAAAAAAAATTTTTTTTTGAGTATGATCTCCTTGAGGATCATTTGCAATTAGAATAAGGCAATTTCAGAATTCATTTAGCCTTCTTACAGTATACTATTTCCTAGATATGAAATCAATATTATCATTTTTCCCAGCAACAATTGATTTCAATCAAATCAAAATTAGTGAATAGGAAATAGGATCAACCATTGTAATTACACATATTCAAATATTGGCGAGGAACGACATATTAACATTGGTAGTGTGAATAATTTTCAAAATTTAAAATCTTATAACAGTTTCCTAAGTTCTAGACCAAACATTCAAGCACACATATATATAGAGCATTATAAGTTTTAGATTTCGATCTGTATCAATCCACTTTGTAAAAAAATCTTCAGAAAATCTCCAGTATCTACATTTTGGACAAAATGCAAAAACCTATGAATTTTCCTATTTTAATTTGATATTCATAATTATTAAGTATTTGTAATGCATATTCTATCTTCTAATTAGTAAAATTACATTGCCCGCCAAAATCAAAAATTTTTCTATTGAAAAAATAGCGCCAAGTCCAAAAGTGTCATTTTCTCATTGAAGACCGCAGCTGGAGTCAATGCCGATTATCCACTTGCTGGGATGCTACACAGCCTTTGATCTGGCCAATCATAGTGCTGTTCCATCCACATCAGCAAGTGATTTCGGCATTGACTCCAGTGCGGTCTTCAATGAGAAAATGACACTTTTGGACTTGGCGCTATTTTTTCAATAGAAAATTTTTGATTTTGGCGGGCAATGTAATTTTACTAATTAGAAGATAGAATATGCATTACAATAACTTATATATTATGAATATCAAATTAAAATAGGAAAATTCATAGGTTTTTGCATTTTGTCCACAAAAGTGAGACAGCCGAAAATCTCTACTAAAATTGCCAGATCGACAAGGAAACAAACAGATTTCAAGTCAACACAATTATTATAGCTCATAGAGTTAGAAATCTGCGATGAAAATTTTAAGAGTCCAACTTCAATGCGCTTTTGAGAAGACACTCAAAATTTGAATGAAATTTTATATCAATTGAAATTTTTTTCTGAGGAATATTTTTATGAAAATGATTGTTTTCCTATTTCTTTTAGCAAGACATAGTTTATCAGAAGAACAGAAACCTACAGAGACTGAAGCCAACATTGAAGAGGACAAGTCATTGTTAGAAACACAAGTTCTTTCTGATTTTATTACAGCTCGTCTTTCCAGAAATCTTACAGTAAAAGGGCAACATGAATTGGAACCAATCGTTGGTAAATATCTCAGAAAACCACTTGTAAATCATTGCAGGAATCAGCCCTTCAAATCTCAATCTCAGAAGATTGTATTTTACAAACTTCGATAATATTATTCTTAAAGGTGAATCTAATTGTCTTGCAAGATTCCCTGATATAACAATTCCGATTGTACCTTTAAAGGTTTTAGAATGCATCCATCCATATTAACGGGCCTTCGGGCATGCAGGAGTTTGAGGATCAACCAGAACAAAATCAAATCGTTAAAGAATAGATTCATCTTTTTTTTACCAAACTTTAATTAAAATTTCACCAAATATTTATTTAATCATCGATTTTTCTAATAATTACCATTGAAAATATGATTTACAATATAAAGACCCGGCGTTTCAATCCGAATAATTTCGAATTTTCGATTAATCAATTATATGTAAAGAGAGATCAAATATCATTACAAAAGTGTGTGTACCTTTTAAAATTAGTCGGTATTACTTTAGTTCATCAGATATAATTTCTCAAATAATTTACATAGCTATTTGTTCATATTCTTCATTGGCAAAAATACCATCACTTATATGCAAACAAATTTTAATATAGATTGACAACGTATTTGAGAATTATATCCATTTTTATGTGATTTCTTTCATTTTTTATTGTAATCAATTTAATTGAATGCAAAATACTATATATTATGGAATGGGAGTAAACGAGCATCGCGATTTGAGTTCAAAGCAGAAAAATAATTTCAATATCTTATTTATATGTTTCATTAGCTTATATATTGAATTTTTCACATTGACTAAAAGAAAATACAGGTAAACGTCATAATTGAGGTTTTTATCATGTTAAAAAAATTGTAATAAATTCAACAAGTGGATAAATAACCTAGTATTCCAATTAGTTATGAGATAAGACATAAATTCCTTGCCAACTTCAGTGGATGCCTTCATTACATTGGATCATTTGACACAATTCTGACAACATTTGCTCCAAAGCATTGCACACTGTACTGGCCTATTGATGTGACATCAGATGCTTTTACGAACTCTTGTAAGAAACCAACCAAGTAACCAAGTGTATCATGATTAACTTTCGGTAATTTTCTGACGAACACCAAATTGTATGGTTTTTAATGGATTCGACAAATTCATTGTACAGAGACATAGGAACTAAAGGCTCATATCAGCGAGCCATCTCTTGAACAGCTCGCGAGGTCATTGAGTTCTGCACCTACATAACAACTATCTTTTCCGTTGTTTATTTCTTCAACCATTAAATCAACTTGTACTTTGTTTCCTGGAAGTCTGAACATGCTTCCATCTTGTCAAGGCCGGCATTCCAGAGCTCGTGGATGAATCTGTGCATGAATAAGGTACTGTGCACTTGGGCGCTGATCTTCTTTGCGCAAAAACTAATTCAAGTAAAGGAGCACCGAAAATGAAGTAATCCTGTGAAGGATGTGTAGGTATGAAATTATCATGAACTTGGCTGCATCGGAAATGTCTCTCCAGAGTCACAACGAGCGGCCAATCTGATATAAGACATTTTAGCTACGTTGTTGATGCCAGATTTGGTTCCAATGCATCTGTTGCTACGTAATGTCTAACAAGAGGCTGGATTTTGAGGTGATGGAGGGTAAAACAAATTACTAAAATTAAATCCCAAATTCTGAAAACATTTTCAGGATTGGGGTTGTTATGTATGAATTTGAGCAAGTAAATGAATGTTTCGTCGATAAGTTGCTTCTCTTTACCAACCATTTCTACAAATACACTTGGTTGCGCTTTCGGAAGCTGTTTACAGTAGCCAATAATGAAGGCGAAGATTTCAACACAGTTCTTTTGAAGAGCGATCGGTGTTGATTTGAGTATTGGGCAGACAGAGGAATCCATATCGAAAACTAAGAGATTCATCTGGAGGAATTTCTTTCTTATTGAAGATGCTTCCACGATAACGAGTATTGAAATTCTCAACTGCGAATTTTCTGATATCCATCGGCTTTGAATCAGAAGTAATTGAAGTTGGAAGATAAAACGGAATTTCTGGTTGGAGTAACAAGTTACTATCAATAGAAGCTGATGCAGATAATTTAACAAGAGTAGATTTTCTGCTTGAAACGCGATGTAATCTTGTATTTTGGTTTAAATTCGGAAGAGATGTTTTTCGGAACCTCCAATTCCTGATTTAGACTCGGGTTTCTGTAGCGTTGGCTGGATATAAACTTCTTGAGGAACTTGGATTGAATTGAAATCGAATTTAATCTGCTTTAATGTGTTTGGATCGATAATAATCGAATCCTGAGGTGGGTTCCATGTAACTTCGTTTGTTACTGCATTGTGAAAATATTTTTGATGTGTGTTCTCGTCTTGAAAAATATAATAGCGTGGAGTTCTTGATCGTCTCATATCAACGCTATTTAATTTTAATTCTTATTTGACAATTACTCTCAAAATATAAAATGCAATTCAAATATATGAGGCCGATAAAAGTGACATAAATATCAAAGAATATAAATATACTATGATAATACTCCAAATATTTATCAAAATCCCGATAAAATTAAAAAGTGACACATTTCAGATTTTGAGATATTCAATTTAAAATTTTGGATCACTGTTTAAACGACTATACTATAATTAAGTCATTTCGATTGCAAAAAATGAAATTCAATATGAAAAAATTTAGCGACAGCCTGTGATTCTTATCAGATCAGGATGCAGATATAAAATTTAAGCTATAAAACTAATAGCAACCCCGGTTCCAAAGCTCAAATTGCTAAACTATCGGATATTAAAAAAAAATATATTTGATAGAGGGCGATTGACACATCATTCAAACCAAGAGTAGGGGTATTTTAGCTAAAAGTGACACACCCGTGAAGGGTGTGATTACGATCGGTAATTTCGACAGTTTAGATTTTAAAATTTTTTATGGAACTGTTGCGAGTTTCATAAAGAATTTAAGGAATATAAGCAAAGATTTGAATCAAAATCTTGCCCTAAGCCGCTCGATTCGCTCGCGGCTTCCGCGAATTACAGATCAGCAAAGATTTGAATCAAAATCTTCGAACTAAGCCGATCGCTTCGCTCGCGGCTTTCTTTATTATTTTAAATTTGCATATTTCCATCAAAGTTCATAAGGTAAAAAATTTCGTTTATATTATTGCAAAATAAAATCTTCATTATCAAAATAATATTAAATAATAATATAATATAATATAATTTATAAAACAACTATTATTTCATAAAGTTTAATTGCCAAGGTTCATCTAATTTTTTGATTTTTATGTTTTATGAATTTTATTTATCATGTATATATCTAATGTAGAAGTACCTTAATATGTACGTAAATTTTAATGATTATAACAACATTATAAAAATTATGAATAAAAACTTGATATAAAATAACATTTTTATTTTACTAAGAAAAAAAAGTTTTTGATAATAATTTATTTTATTTCGAAAAAGTAGCAATAATCGTAAAAGGGTATTGATAGGCTTGCTAAAGTAACTATTTTTAGCTGTCAAATACTTTTGTATTTTGAAGTAAATTAATATAAATTTGTTTTTACTTTTATTTCGAAAAAGTAGCAATAATCGTAAAAGGGTATTGATAGGCTTGCTAAAGTAACTAATTTTAGCTGTCAAATACTTTTGTATTTTGAAGTAAATTAGTATAAATTTGTTTTTACTTTTATTTCGAAAAAGTAACAATAATCGTAAAAGGTATGATAGGCTTGCTAAAGTAACTAATTTTAGCTGTCAAATACTTTTGTATTTTGAAGTAAATTAGTATAAATTTGATATTATTTAACTCCCTTTGAAAACCTCAATTTCCATACAGAGGAACGGGAATAGCATCCAATATTCCCTGAGAATGGTTGCGCATTCTCAGTTCCCTCTATATTTCGAACGAAGCTCTCATCGGTCTTTTTTTTAATACTAAACGTTTTTTCCCCCTGTCACTTTTAGCTAAAATTTGGGTTTGCCTTCAAACCAATGTCAAACATTGTTCTAATAAGTCCGTCTGAGACTCTTCTCATGGCTCTTTTCCTTGCCTTTGGCTAGAAAATACAAGTAAAAATAATTATCTGAGAGCCAAAAATTTTTGACATTTTGATAAATTTACAAAATTTTGAGATTTGACAATGGAAATACAAAGATGATTTTAGAAAAAACCAAACAAGATCCATCAGAAGAAGAAATTAATCCAGAGGACAATAATTTTGATTGTACAGAACTAGAAAATACATTATCTGATTTTATAAATTGCGGAGATACCGAAGTTCAAGATAATTCAATCAAAAACTATCGAATATTATTCCCAATATCCGCCAGCAGCCGATTTATTGGTTTCGTGAACCATTTCAAGATCATCAAATAATTCCATTTCTCTTCGAAATTTTAATGAATGATATTAGGGAGAATTTAGTGTTACCAATATTGAACATATTTTCTAATTGTATTCGTTCTACAACCATATCTCAATTCTTCTATTATCAGGACTTAATGCTTATTTGAATAATATAATGAATGCACCTTCAAGAAATTATAAGCAATATCTGAAGGAATACTTAGTATCTAATAACAGTATCTTTTGTGCGTTTCTAAGTATATTACGAAATCTTTCTCAACATAAATTTCTCCTGAGATAGAAAACGGACTCTTTTGGTATAATTCATTAATATAATACTTGTTTCAATTGAATCAGATGTCAGTGACTTTATGATTGATGCAATTGAAATTTCAATAAATATAATTCCACAATCAAAAGATGTAAGGATGACATTAGTTTACAATGACTTTGTACAACTTTGTTTTCTCAAAATTTTTACATTTTGATAAAAGTTTTCGAATTATTCTGAAATGTTTGGGAATTTGCGTTCAATATATGCCAGATAAGGTATTTGATAATTTACCTGAAACATGGACTGATGACATCAAGAATTATTGCTTCAAATAGATCAAGATTCTCAAATTGAAATATTAAAATTTATTTATGAAGTTTCAAGGACTCCAAGTGGATCATCTTTGTTACAATCGAGGGGATATCTTGTATTCTTACAGAAATGAGCGAAAATGCTACTTTCAAAGTTAGAAAATATTCTTTG